ATATCCAAAAACAACTAGAACAACACATCAACAGAACTACCAGAAGTGCAGGCTGGGTTTAGACGGGGTCGTGGTACTAGGAATGTTGTAGCTAATGTTAGATGGATCTTGGCTGAAAGCAGGCAGTACCAGAAGAATGTCTTATCTGTGTTTCATTTATTATGCAAAGATGTTTGACTCTGTGGAAACAAACCGTGGCTAACTCTGAGAAGAATGGGAATCCCAGAACACTTGATAGTGTTAATGCAAAAACTATACTTGGACCAGCAGGCAGTTGTCAGAACAGAGCAAGGAAACACTGCATGGTTCAAAAGTGGGAAGGGTGTATGCCAGGGATGTATCCTATCTCCATACATTTTCAATCTTTATGGAGAACAGATTAACCAGGAGGCTGGGCTCTAAGAGGAAAAATGTGGCATTAGGATTGGAGGAAGACTCATCAACAATCTGCGTTATGCAGATGACACATCCCTGCTTGCTGAAACTGAGGAAGCGCTTGCTGTGGAAGGTCAGAGACTGAAGTCTTCAGTATGGATTAAGGCTCAATATCAAGAAAACAAAGATTCTCACCACTGGGTTTATTGGCAGCAAAATGATGGATGGTGAAGAGATTGAGATTGTTCACAGCTTTAGTTTGCTTGACTCCACAGTCAACACTCTTGGCACCAGCAGCCAGGAAATTACGCCAGGGATGCGTCCTATCTCCATACCTTTTCAACCTGTATGCAGAACAGATTATCCAGGAGGCTGGGATCTATGATGAGAAATGTGGGGTCAAGATTGGTGGAAGACCTATCAACAATCTGCATTATGCAGATGATACAACCCTGCTTGCTGGAACTGAGGAGGACCTGAAGCGCTTGCTGCAGAGGGTCAAGGACTGCAGCCTCCAATATGGATTGAGGTTCAATGTCAAGAAGACAAAGATTCTCACCACTGGACCAATTGGCAGCATCAGGATGGATGGTGAAGAGATTGAGATTGTACACAGCTTTAGTTTGCTTGGCTCCACAGTCAACACTCTTGGTACCAGGAGCCAGGAAATTAAAAGGCGCATTGCCATGGGAAAGTCTGCTATTAGGGACCTCTCCAGAGTACTGAAGAGCAATGGTGTCTCCCTGGAGACTAAGGTGCATCTGATACAGGCCATGGTCTTCGCAATCACTTGTTATATGCATCAGAGAGTTGGACAATGACCAAGGAGGATAGAAGGAGAATTGATGTCTTTGAGCTGTGGTGCTGGAGAAGAGTATTGAGAGTACCATGGACTGCTAGGAAAACAAACAGATTCATCCTGGAAAGGGTTAAACTGGGTGTCTCCTTGGAGGCAAGGATTCTTTTTTTTTAAAGTTTATTTATTTATTTAATGTGTGTACCATCAAATTAGATCTGACTGGTACAGGAGGCGATTGTTCCTCCTTCTTCAGCAGAGCATCTGGTGGATTTGAACTGTGCACCTCTGGGATTGCAGTGCAGTTTCCTGCCAATAGGCCACCAGAGCTTGCCTGGAGGCAAGGATTCTGAGGCTGCATCTAATATACTTTGACATGTAAGGAGAGACTGGTCCTTGGAGAAGGACATCATGCTTGGGAGGGTGGAGGGACAGTGAAGGAGGGGAAGACCCTCTATGAGGTGGATTGATTCAGTGACTGGGGTAATCAGGATGGGAGTGTCAGAGACAGTGCGATTGGCACAGGACAGAGCAGAGTTTAGGGCTGTTGTACATAGGGTCACTATGAGTTGCAAGCGACTTGATGGCACATAACAACAACATTGCAATTGGCAAGTCTGTGTTTAGAGACCTCTCTAAAGTGCTGAAGAGCAACAACAATGTCAGTCTGGAGACTTAAGATGTGCCTGATACATGCCATGGTCTTTGCAATCACTTGCTATGCATTAGAGAGCTAGACAATGATTAGGGATGACAGAAGGAAAACTAATGCCTTTGAGCTGTGGTGTTGGAGAAGAGTATTGAATATACCATGGATTGCTAAGAAAATGAACAGGTTTGTCTTAGAGAGGGTGAAGCTAGGCTGGTCCGTGGAGGCAAAGATTCAGAAGGTCATCTAACATACTTTGGATATGTTGCAAAGAGGAACTAGTCCTTGGAGAGGGACATCATGCTTAGGAGGGTGGAGGGACAGTGCAGGAAAGGAAGACTTTCGATGAGATGGACTGATACAGTGACTGGGGTAATAGGTGTAGGTGTGTCAGAGGCAGTGAGATTGGCTCAGGATAGGACAAGGTTTAGGGCTGTTGTCCATAGAGGGTCATTATGAATCGCAGGCGACTTGACAGCATATAACAACAACATCATCATCAATACTGCATGCAAGTAAAATTTTGCTGAAGATTATTGAAAAAATAACTGGAACAGTACATAGATAGGGAATTGCCAGAAATTCAAGCTAGATTTAAAAGAGTCTGTGAAATGAGGGTTATCATTGCTGATATCAGATGGATCATGGCTGAAAGCACTGGATTTCAAAAAGATGTTTATTTGTATTTTATTGATTATGCAAAGGTACTTTACTGTGTGGATCACAACAAATTATAGCTAACATTGAAAAGAATGGGATTATAAGAACAGTTAATTGTGCTCATGTGAAATCTATACATAGACCAAGACGCTGTTCTCTAAACAAAGAAATACTGCATGGTTTTAAATCAAAAAAGTTGAGCATCAAGATTGTATCCTTTCTCCATACCTATTCAATCTGTATGCTGAGTATACCATTCCGGAAGCTGGACAATACGCAGAAGAATGTGGCATCAGGATTAGAGGAAGACTCATCAGCCATTTCGGTTATGCAGATGACACCACTTTACTTGCATAAAGTGAAGAAGATGTGAATCACTTGCTGATGAAGATTTTTGCTTTCTATATGAATTACATGTAAACAGCAAAGGGGGGAAATTCTTACTGCTAAAGCAATAGGCAACATTATTAATAGGTGGAAAAAAGAATAAAGTTGTCAAAAATTTCCTTTTACTTGACTCCACAATCAGTATCCATGAGAGCAGCAATCAAGAAATCAAAAGACATGTTGTAAGGACCCCTCCAAAGTGTTAAAGAGCAAGGATGACACATTAAAGATCAAGGTGTGTCTAATGCAAACCATGATATGTCCAGTTGCTTCTTATGCTGTTAAAGTTGGACAATGAATAAGGATGACAGAAGAAGAATCAATGCTGTTGAACTGTGGTGTTAGAGAATACACTCATGGACTGCTAAAAGAGCAAACAAATCTGCCTTGAACTAAGGTGCTTCTTAGAAGCAAGGATGGTAAAACTTTGTTTCACATACTTTGGGAACGTTGTTAGGAAGGACCAGTCCTTGGAAAAAGACATCATGCTGGGAAAAATGGAGGGTAGAGAAAGAGAATAAATGGATTCAAAAAGTAAATTGACACAGTTACTAAAACAATGGGCTCAATCAAGCTCATTAGAGATGAGGACGGTACAGGATAGGGCAAGGTTCAGATCTGTTGTTCATAAGGTTTCTGTGAGTCGCAATTGACTCCATGGCACCTTACAACAGCATGAGTCAGGATCAACTTAACAGCACTCTCCAGCAACAGGGTATAAAGAAGTATGACCAGGAGCCATCATCACTACTTTAGAAGAAGCTCTCTCACAGTGTTTTTGAAAAAGGTCCCCTTCATGCTCATATTTATTCTTATACCATTCTTTCCTATTCAGAAAGTTTGGGTTTACCATCCCATTAGTTTCCTTTATAGCTTTCTTGTTGTTGTTGTTGTTATGTGCCATTGAGTCGATTGTGACTCATAGCGACCCTATGTACAACAGCCCTAAACCTGCTCTGTCCGGTGCCAATCTCACTGTCTCAGACACACCCAACCTGATTACACCAGTCATTGAATCAATCCACCTCATAGAGGGTCTTCCCCTCCTGCACTACCCTCCCAAGTGTGATATCCCTCTCCAAGGACTGGTCCCTCTTTGCAACATGTCCAAAGTATGTCAGACGAAGCCTTAGAATCCTTGCTTCCAAGGAGCATCCTGGTTTAACCCTCTCCAGGATGAACCTGTTTGCTTTCTTAGCAGTCCATGGTACATTCAACACTCTTCTCCAGCACCACAGCCCAAAGGCATCAATTCTTCTTCTATCCTTCCTACTCACTGTCCAGCTCTCTGATGCATAACAAGTGATTGCAAAGACTATGGCCTGTATCAGATGCACCTTAGTCTCCAGAGAGACACCATTGCTCTTCAGTACTTTGGAAAGGTCCCTAACAGCAGACTTTTCCATCACAATACTTCTTTAATTTCCTGACTGCTGGTGCCAAGAGTGTTGACTGCGGAGCCAAGCAAACTAAAACTGAACAATCTCTTCAGCATCCATCCTGTTGCTGCCAATTGGTCCAGTAGTGAGAATCTTTGTCTTCTTAGCTTTACTACATATTTAATTCTTAAATAACATCATTTTCCATTAACATGTATTTTACTTTTATATAAATGGAAGCATAGTATATTATTCTTCTGCAACTTGCTTTTTCACTCACCATTATGGCTTAGACTGTTCCATAGTATGACTACACTTACTCCTTACTTTTCAACTATCTTGTTATCCAACATTTCTCATTATGACAATAGTTTCAAAAACTAGAGCTACTTTGTGCATGAACAATGTACATTTGAATGCCATGTGTGAGACAAGAGTAATGTTGGCTGTAGTGTTTCCATATTCTAGTTTCTCTAGATCCAAGAAGCTCAGAATCTTAGTGCAGGAAAGAAACACTAAGCCCGGTCACTTCATTTTATAGATGAAGGGAATTTACGAAGTTAAGTTATTGACTAAGGGAATGCCACTATGGAACGACAGAACCCGGGACTCAAACTTCATACCTCTTGCTCCCTACTCACCCCTTCCTTGCCTTATTTATCTTTCTTCTTTTCCCTTTACAGGTTAAGGTCCAAAGGTGTGGCCACCACCACACACAGAGCTGTCTCCTAGGTGGGCCCAGCGCTGATTCTAGAGGATGTGGCTCCTCCGTAGACGCTACATGCCCCTGCGCTTGGCCGTGGTGGGCAGCGCCTTTGTGCTTTTTCTCTTCATCCTGCAAAGGGACGTAAGCAACAGAGAACAAGCCACAGACAAACCATGGCTAAAGTCCCTAGTGAGTCAGAAAGATCACGTCCTGGACCTCATGCTGGGGGCTGTGAACAACCTTAGAGATTCAATGCCCAAACTCCAGATCAAGGCTCCAGAGCCCCAAGAGTCCATGATATCCGCAAACCAGTCCTGCCTGCCTGGATTCTATGCCCCAACTGAGCTAAAGCCCTTCTGGGAACGTCCTCCACAGGATCCCAACAGTCCTGGGGCAGATGGAAAAGCATTTGAGAAGAGCACATGGACCTCTCAAGAGACCCGGGAGAAAGAGGAGGGCTATAAGAAGCACTGCTTCAATGCCTTTGCCAGTGACCGGATTTCCCTGCAGAGGGCACTAGGACCAGACACCCGGCCACCTGAGTAAGTAGGACCAAAATCCTGGGATGAGAACAGGGCTCTGCCAAAGCTATGATTAAGTGTAACTATCAGCAGTCCCCCTAACGGGTAAATGCCATCAAGTCATCCCTAACTCAGAGCAACCCCTTGTTTGTCCAAGAACTGTGCTCCACAGGGTTTCAATGGCTATGATCTTTCAGAAGTAGATTATAAGATCTGGGTAGTTCAATTTTTGGTTATTAGCCAAACAGAACCCTCTAGTGTGACCAAAGGTTTCTTCTACAGTCAAGTACAGAAGGGGATTTTATAGTATGGGTGATATTGCCTCTAAGCTTTATACTCATCCTTCTGACCACTTTCTTTGATCTCTTGGGTTTAGGGTTCAACAGTATTATAGTGAACCTAGGTGCTTAGAAGAAGAGTCTTGAACATATCATGGACTGCCAAGAGCATGAACAGGTCTGCCCTGGGGAAGGTGATACCAAGCTGCTCCTTGGAGACAAGGGTTATGAGACTCTTCCTCACAAACTTTGGGCATGTTGCCAGGAGGAATGAGTCTTTGGTGAAGGATATCATGCTTGGAAGGGTTGAGAGACAGTTGAGAGGAGAAGAAGACCCCCGATGAGATGGATATAATAACTAGGGTAATGAGGGTAGGTGTGTCACAGATAGTGAGATTGACTCAGAACAGGGTTTGGAGCTATTGTGCATAGGGTCTCTATGAGTCATAGCTGTCTCCACAGTACATAACAACAGCAATGGGCTTAGGGAGAGCAGCAGGAGTGAAGCTGACAGGTTATGAAGGTGGCAGAATACAGAGCTGGGACTTGGACCTGGCACAGAGAAGCCACACATCGGGGAAATACTAATTTAAGGCTGTGATTATGGTGCCTTGCATTTCCCAAGGCTGTGGAACTCCAGTGCTGGGCTGCTGGGCTGGAGAGCATTTCCCGAGAGCAGCCCTGGGGATCAGGGACACGCCACACCTCCTGGCTTCCTTCACTGAAGTCCCATGGGGCCATGAATTCATCCCTAATTTATCTGGCACTTGTTTATATTTTCTATAGTAAAAAAGTCTTGGTAGTATGGTGATTAAAACATTTGGTTACTAACTCCCAGGCCCACAGTTCCAACCTAACCCACAAGCTGCTCTGTGGGAGAAAGATGAGGCAGTCTGCTTCTTTAAAGATTTATAACCTTAGAAAACCCTATGGGACAGTTCTATTCTGTCCTGAAGGGCTACTATGAGTCAGGATCAACTTGACAGCACTGGGTTTCGATACTGAAAACCAGCGCTTACATTTCTGAGCTGCGGGCATCTCACAGCCATGGCTATGGTCTCACTGTCCTTAACTTAGACTTTGTGTCTTTGTCATTTAGACTCTATCCTCTTGACTGAGTTTTAGCCTTTTTTGCCTTTTCTCTATGGTAGCCCCATCACCAAATTCATTATTCCTTTGGGCTATGACTGTGGGGACCTCAGACATGGAACAAGTATTATTCCCCAGAAAAAGGAGCCAGTGGAAATGAAGAAACCTTCAGCAAAGAAGGGTATTGGGTATGAGGGCAGCCAATTGAGGATGTTTAGGAGTCACCTCTGGAGGGCCCATGAGCAGTCTCTCTGACAAGCACATGTGGTTAAGAAAGAGTGTGACTGAGAACTGAGGCACAAACAGAGACCTGTACATCAGTGTTCATAGCAGCATTATTCACCATTGTAAGAACATGGAAATAGATCAGATGTCCAACCACAATTGAATGGATTGAGAAATTATGGTGCATTCTTAACAATACTATGCAGCACTCAGGAGCGATGATTTTGTAAATTATTACCTAACTCGGGAGAGACTGAAGAACATCATGCTGAGTGAACCAACTCAGTCCCACAAAGATAAATATTGTATAAAACCATTATTGTAGAATGAGTATGAGGATCCAAGGGGCGGGGAGTGGAAGCAGAGGGATGAGGTTGTGCAGGGGGAGGGGGGATTAATCACGGGGTTGTACAATTTGATGGTTGGGGGTGAGGGAATTTGGAAGAATCTGGTCTGAAAAACAATGTATTTGAATTTTGTAAAAAAACTAATACAAATTTTTTTAAAGGACAAAAAAAAAATAAAAGAAAGGATGTGAGGCCAAATGATCCCTTGAGAGCTAAGGAGCTATACTGACTGTCCTTACATAGGGTCACAAGAAGCCATAATTGCCTCCCCAGCACCTAATAACAACATATATTGTAGAGGGAGCCTGGTAGTCTAGTGGTAAGAAGCTGTGCTGCAATCTTAAAGGCATGTGGTTCAAACTTACCAGCTGCTCTGAGGGAGAAGGAAGGGCAAACTTCTCCTGTGCAATTAAATGCCTCTGAAAATCCACTTGAAAGTCAGTTAGGAGTCAGTTCTGATTCAACAGTACTTAACAATAGTAACACATATTGTAGAGAAAGGGGCTTTTTCTTCTCGTTAAGTATGGAAATTGTAGTTACTTTGCTCAGATGACAATTTTGCCAATATTGCTTACCCCTCTAAGACCTCTAGATTGGATCACAGCGCATATATTATTGAAGAAGAAGGAGTTAGCTCTGGGAGCTTCCAGCCTGATAGCAAGAAACAGATAAGTGAACCCTCAGTATCACAGCAAAAGGGCCCATCTCTATGGATATGGGTTTTAGAGTGGGTTAGTGAGGACCAGTAACGAGGCTCAGAGACAGGTGGCAAACACAGAGTGAGTCAGAAACCAAAATCCACTGTTGGACAGTCTACTAGAATTCACAGGAACCCTCCCTCTGGTTTCTGAGCCTATAAATCTTTATAGGAGACATCCCATCTTTCTGTTGTGAAGCAGCTGTTGTATTCAAACCACTGACCTTTCAGTTAATAGCTCAATACATTACCTGCAACAGCACCAGGGCTTCTCAGAGTGAGTCAGGGTCTAGTTAAGCCAGTCAGCTGCTGTCAGTTCTAATTCATGTGTGTCAGAGTAGAACTATTCATAGAGTTTTCAATGCCTGATTTCTTGAAATTATTGTATATTCAACAAATAAGGTGTGCATTATTAATTTTTCTCCTTCTTCCTACAAACCTCATGTTTGTTATTTATGCTTGGCAGGTTATGTATGTGGGTGTGCTATATATATATAAGGGGGAAAAAAACAACTATGGTAGGTCTACAACAAACAAATATGTCTTAAGCAAAATGAAAGCAGGGTACTCCGTACAGGCAAAGATGGTGAAACTTCATTTCACATATTTTGGGCATGTTGTTAGGAAGGGTCAGTCCTTGGGAAAAGACATCATGCTTGGAAAGGTCAGCCAAAAACAGGAAAACCCTCTACAAGATGGATTGACACAGTGACTGTAACAAGGGATCCAAGTATATGAGAGATGCTGAGGATGGCACAGGATAGGGCGAGATTCAGATCTGTTGTTTGTTCACAGGGTCCCTATGAGTCATAGCTGATTCAGTGACACCTAACAACAACCTTCAGGCCTTTCTTCCAAAGTGCTGCTGGTGAACTTGAATATCCAACCTTTCCATCAGCAGCCAAGTACGTTAACCTTTTGCAGCACTAGGGATCTGAGCTGGGGGCAGGGAGTGCATAATATTTTGGACGACAGGGACTGTAGCTGCTGGTTCAGAAGAGCAGAAGGTGGTGATAGTATCTGGGCAGAGTCCTCTCCACCTGAGGAGCTCACAGGGACTGTCTGCACTTTTATCCCTCTAGGTGTGTGGACCAGAAGTTCCGGCGCTGCCCCCGACTGCCCACCACCAGTGTCATCATCGTGTTCCACAACGAGGCCTGGTCCACACTTCTGCGAACAGTGTACAGCGTCCTACACACCAGCCCTGCCATCTTCCTGAAGGAGATCATACTAGTGGATGATGCCAGCACTGAAGGTAAAGCTAAAAAGGCCCTGAGGAGAGGCCCAGGGTCTCACATGGGCACCCGGGGAATAAAGACAGGGTGTCTCAAGGGAAGAGGCCATCACCCCCAGGCTGGGTCCTGGCATCACAGCCCATTATAAAGGCAATGGACAAAAAGAAGGCAGCAGGGGACAGAGGCCAACAAAGACATTTCTAAAACCTGAACTTCATCCACACTTTGCCCAAAGGTACCCAAGACCTTTGTAGTTCTGACTTCCAGGACCTCTGCTGAGCCCAACCACAAGTCAGAAATGCTGGGAGAGGTCAAAGCAGATGGGGAGATTGGCCTTCCTTTCTCTATCCTATTTGCAAACCACCATTCTTCTCTTAAATATGCTATCTCTAAAACCCTCTTTGCTCTGGTTGTTAATAGGTAAGTGAGGTTGCTCACCAAACTTCCCATGTTTCAAGGCAATTCTATAAACATCTACTGAGCTCCTGCCTGTGCTTGGCACTGACCAAGGACTGGAAGACACCATGACAAACATAGCTGGTCCTGGCCTGAAGAGGATACCAGCCCTCCCAGGACAGGAAACCATTTACAACACAGCCACTAACAGAAAAGGCCTCAGACTCAGAAGTCCACACCCAGGGATTCAAATCCCAGTTCTGACTCTTCCTTGACTAATGATACTTAGCCTCTCTGAACCTTAGTTTCATTTTCCAAAAATAAGGACAACTGATTCCCTCACATATGGGTCAGGGATCCAAAACACATAATGACTGAGATCATTCACATGCCACAAGGTACTTGGTGTTGAGGAAGAGTTCCATAAGCATCAATTCCACTATATGTATAGGAACTATGAACGGTGGAAGGGCTGAACCAGGGAGTGTTACTTCTGCCTGACATAGTTTGAGGCCTCACAGGGAAGCCCTCAGTGGGTGGAGCTTGCCCTTAATGGATGAATGATTATCTAGGAAAGAAGAGGGAATTAAAAGCATTTTCAGAATATAACTACATAAATAGAACTTGGAAAGATAAAAGGTCAGTGAAAGAGAGGAAGGCCCTTAGCGAGATGGACTGACAGTGACTACAACAATGAGCTTTAGCACATTGGAGATTGCGAGGACACAGGATTGTGCAAGGTTTTGTTGTGTCTTACACAGGGTTACAATGAGTGAGAGTGGATTCAACAGCACATAACAAGAGATACACGAAGGAATGTATAGAACTTTGGGAGACCTGGTGTGCTAACGCCTAGGTTTACTGTGAAAGATGAGACTAAAAAGATATTGACATCCATGCCAGGCTCAAAGTGTTTAGGGAGAAATATGGAGTCACTGGCAGTGTTTGAGCTATTTCAGAACAGTGCTAACTTTGGTGCCCGTGGCAGATGAGGATAACTGTCAGAAAGAGAAGCAGGGCATCCAGAGTTCTGAGAGCATGTTCTCAAAATCACTTGAGAGTAAAGTACTGGGAGAGTGGCTGTGGGACTGGGATTTCCCCAGAGCTAAGCCTTCTTCCTCCATGGCATGTGACATCTGAGGGTCTCCCAGGCTGGCAGAAACTGACTCGAGAGTTCCTATCCTATGCCCCTGGACAACCCCAGTAGAGAGCTATTGCCATCACATTACCTTCCCCAGCTTTCCTCTTGCCTCTTGGTAATGGGGATGTGAAAGAAGATGACCCCGAGCTGCTGCTCCCTAGTCAATTCTGTATCACAGTAATCCTCCATTGGTTCTCCAAGGCTGTACATCTTTAAGAGAATAGACTTGCTCATCTTTCTCCTGTGGAACATCTGGCGTGCTCAAGGTTTGGCAAATAGCCTGACAAGTCATGCACTATGACACCAGAGCTCTATCCAAACAAGACCATGGCTGGGGAAGGAGGAATAAGCATGAGCAATGTGGAGTCCATGTCTTCAGGGAGTTCACACTGTCCCTGGGAGAGCAGATACTTAGCAACACTAAGCAAAAGCAAGCACACACCAAGATGCAGTGAAAAGGGTCATCTAGTGGATAAGGAGAGCACAGGTTAGCCTTCTGAGAAGGGAAAGGCAAAATCTGACAAAGAAAGGAGGGTCTTGCAAATAGCCTCTTGGGCTTCTTCTTTATCCTGGGTCTCTCCTGACTCTTCTCCCTCTAACACTGCCACTATCCTCCAGAAAGCTACTTCTCTCTGAACCACTGTTTCATCTTGTCATGAGAATTTCGGAAGCTCATACAGTGCCCAGCTGGGCAACCTCACTGACCAGATTAGACAAGTGACCTGGTGCAAGTCTAGCATCTCAGGTCAGAGTCTCCTGCACCTGGTGGCACATAACTAGCAGCAACCCTCCAAAGTGCCTGCTCCTATGAGGTCACCAAACACATACTCACATTCTCTCTGGCCATCTCTCCTTTAATGTCTTGGAATTTCTCTTAAGTCCAATTCCAGCATCTTTAAATCACTCCCCAAAAAACCTAAGCCAGCCATTCTTACTTTTCCGAGTCCTGCTCTCCTTTCCCTGCAACAGTGAGCAATCATGCACAACAGTATGCATACCCACACATCTTTTGGCATGGAATTTCAAGGAGTTGGTGGACCCTAGGAAGAACAAGCCTACATTGAAGGCTTTCAGACTCTAGAGATACTTTAAGCAATGTTCAGCTCAGTGGGGACAGAAGGGTGGGGAAAACCTCATGCCTATGGTCAGAAATCTCTGTTGTCCAAAGTGGGATAAAATTTCCCACATATTTGCCCATTTGATCAGATTAAGTGGCTCTCATTACACATACACAAAGGCATGTCTCTGCTGAAATACAATGTCCGTGCTCTCTATTCTACCCAGGCACCCAGCAGCAGCTCTATAGCCATGAACACAATAGCATTTGATACAGGGAGAAGAGGCTCAGTGTCAGGCTAAGGAACTATTTCTTTCCTAATTCAGAGTCAAAGTCAGTACAACACTTCACTCATGACAGGCCAAATCTGTAGCCAGGACCTGCTGTGACGTGCTCCATGAGCACGTCATTTGGCCAACGGTACTCAGTGTCCAAAGCCTGAGTTTCCCTTCTTGAGGGTTTTGCTAGTTAAATGGAGGGGGAGATCAGACATATACTCAGGGCTTTGGAAGAGTCCAGCAATGAGCCTGAGCAAGTCATTTAAGGAGATGGGAGCAGTGAGAAGGTAGGTTAGTAGAGAGGGGTTGCTGTGAGAAAGCAAAAGTAGAGAAATCAGAAGTGGAAGGAAAAGGGACAGACTTGAAGTTGGGAAATGCACTGTCTCTGACGTAGGGGGAAAGACCAGAGCATGTTGGGGAAGCCCAAGATATCCCCTTCTCCCACCTTTCTCAACTTTCTCATTGTGATTGAAGTGAAAGTTTATAAAGCAATTTGGTTTCCCACTCAACAATTCATACACATTATGTCATGGCACTGATTATAATCCCTACTTTGTAACAGCATTCTTCCCAAGTCCTCACAGGGTTCTCAATTTCTATTCATCCATCTTTCCTGTACCTTCCTGTCTTCTAAGCTTGTCCCCAGACAGATGCTGCTCTTTTGATCTTACAGGCTGATTCTTCTAAAGATTACATTTTCATTCCCTTCCTGGTGTTACCACTTTACAGGCCTGGTTTGACTAGGGAGCTCTGGTGGCTTAGTGGTAAGAAACTTCACTGTAGTCCCAAAACTCTGTGGTTTAGTCCACCAGCTGCTCCATAGGGAAAAGGTGGGCAGTTTCCTCTCGTGCAATTAACTGCCACTGAAAACCCATTGGAGGGTCAGCTATGAGTTGATGGCAAACCACAACAATGACATTTGGCTGGAAGTTGAATCACAGAGGGGATTTCAGTTCCAGGCTTAAAAGGTGACTGAGGGCCACAGTTCTGGTAGTCCCACCAGAATACCAGTAAGACTTGTTCTTACTAGTCAGACCATCAAACTTAGTGGGGTTTTTTTATGATTTTGAGTTTTGTTGCACATTTTCTGCTCCCCGGGACTTTCTGCTCCTTTTCGGGGTGGTCAGTAGTGGTAGTGAGGTACTATCTAGTTCTCCCAGTCTGAGCCACTCCTACACCTCTCGCTGTCAGAATTAGCTAAGTGATGGTTCATCTTCTGGCTACCAGCACTTCTAAGAAATGTCAGGAAATGAATTGTTCTAAGGTTTTGATTTTAGAGTATTTACAACTTTCACTGCCTACCCCAACCTATCTATCTCCTTATAATTATATACCACTCTCAAGTGGAAATGTTATCTGCCAGTCAACTCTTTACCCTAAAAGTTGGACAGTAAGACTATGGTCTAGCATCCAAATGCTCTACCTACGAAGGTGAATCACAGCATATCCCCAAAGGTAAGCATGCTTGTGTATTTCTTCTTCCTAAGAGATTAGAAAAATTTCCCATCACAATTAGATTTGAGACTGGGTAAAATATGGACAAGCAGGAAAACAGAATAAAAAAAACAAACAAAATCAGAAAATTAGAAGACAGCCTTCCCTACAAGAAAAGGAGTTCCATTTTTTTCTAAGTCTTTTACAAGTCAAGCAAGAGATGTGTTACTAAGGACATGAACATGCAGAAACGATGAAAGTTATACACATGTTTAGGTCTTTCATTCTACAACTCAACACTTAACAGCACTTAACAACAACAACATAGTATTTACTAGGTCCAAGACCTTGTGCCAGACCCAGAGGGATACAACAGCAAACAGGATGGATAATGACTCTGTCTCCCTGGAGTTTACTTTTTTAGTGTGGAAGACAGGGGAAAAAAATCGTTTCATATCATAACGGGCGCTATTTAAGGTGGGGATGGGGGGGGGCAGAATGCAGTGTTGTGGGATAGTGAGTAATTTGCTCTTTTAGTGAGGTGTCCCCTGGGTGATGCAAATAGTTAACATGCTCACATACTAACTGGAAAGTAGGTGGACAGTGTCCATCCACTCAGAGATGCCTTGGAAGAAAGAGCTGGTGATCTACTTCTCAAAAAGTCTGCCATCAAAAATCCTGTGGCAAATAGTTCTGCTTTGGCATGCATAGGGTCAGGTTACGAGTCAAAATTTACTCAGTGACACCTGTTTTTTTCTCTTCTTTTTTCTTTTCTTCTTTTTTTCAGTCAGTGTGGCCAGGAAAGGCTGCTCTGAGTATTCTAAGTAAAAGTAAATAAAAATCCCAGAGGCTTAGTAGTTTTGATGGCACAGAAAGCATGCTAGTGAGGTTGGAGGGAAGTGAGCAAAGAAGCATAAAGGGCACTAGTGCAAAGAGAGTTTACAGAGACGCCTAGAACTGAGTCATGGAGATCTCTGTAAGTAATGACGATGGTTTGGATTTGTTGTGTTGTATCATTCTGGTATCATACATACAAGCAAACATTTGCCATTTCAGGCATACTTATGTATACAATTCAGTGCTTAATAATGTTCACCATGATTTGTAGCTCTCACTATGCATCTGGTTTGGTTTGATTTGTCTTTGGGGTGAAATATACCCAACAAAGCACTCATCTATTCAATGATTCTACTGTTTAATTCAGTGACACTGATTAAATTCTTCATGTTGTGCTTTCACTATTGCTCTTCTTTTCCAAATCATTCCACAGTCATTAACAAAAGTACAATGCTCTCTAAGCAAAAGCTCCCCTTTCCTCCTCCTTACTACTTCTGTTAACCACTAATAATCTTTAAGTTTGCACTAATTTGTTTATTTCATAGAGGTGAGATCATACAGTATATATCTTTTTTGTGTGTGCCTTATTTTACTCAGCGTAAAGTTTTCAAGGCTAGTTGATGGATGTTGCAGTATGCATAAAAATTTTAATCCTCTGTAGGGCTGAATAATATTGGTTCATTTTGGAAAATGGATACTGAATAAGAAATGACAGAAGAAAAATTGAGCCTTTGAAGTGTAGTGTTGGAAATAAGTTTTGAATGTCCTATGGACTGCCAAAGAACAAACTAACCTGTCTTGGAGGAAGCGTGCGTAACTGGTATTCCTTAGAGGCAAGAATAAAACTTCACCTCACATATTTTGGGCATGTTATCAGGAAAGGCCAATCCTTGGAAAAAGACATCATATTGGGAAAGGTAAAAGGTCAACAAAAGATAAGAAGACCCTCAACAAAATAGACTGACAATTACTCTAAAAATAGGCTCAAGCATGTCAGTGGTCATGAGGATGGCAGAGGATAAGGCAGGTTTAGAGTTGTTGTTGACAGAGTTGCTATGAGTCGTACTTGATGCACCAGCACCTAACAACACCACCACCACGTATTTTGTTGAAATGCAATCTATGCATTCACTGATGGGTATTTAGGTAGTTTCCACGTTTTTCACTTTTAACTCTAACCACTGTAAAAAGTGCTACAGTGAGCACTGATGTGTAGATTTCTGTTTGTATTCCTGCCTTCACGTCTTCTGGATACATATGCCTATGACTGGGATTGCTAGGTCATATGGTAGTTCTATGTACAACTTCTTGAGAAACCACCAAACTGTTTTTCACAGTAGTTATGCCATTTTACAGTCAAACATGCAATGGAGGAGGGTTCCAGTTTCTCGAAAACTTTGCCAGCACTTTTAATTTTCTGTCTTCTTAATCATTGCTAGTCTAATGAGGGTATGAATTTCTTTTTAATTCATTTAAAATAATTAGACTTGTGTGATCTGACTTACAGTTTTAAGAGACAGTCTGCTGCTAACTTTGGCCACTATGTCAAGAATAGGTCGAAGAAAGAGTGATACAGTAGAAGTCAGGAGACCAGTTAAGATGCTATTCTGGCATGACAACAGGATATAAAGACAGAACTGATAGGAGTTGGTGAAAGACTGGCTGAGAAGGGTGAGAAAAGGGAGACCTCATACAACTTCTAGTTTGAGTAGCTAGAGTGATGCTGGTACTGCCACAAGGAGACTGGGGATCAAGTACATTTGGGAGGAGATTCTAGAGTTTCTTTTTTAGCCAATGACTGGCTCTGCTAGACAGTGAAGTAAAGATAAGCAAGGCCAGGAAGAGACACTTGGCAGGCATCTGCATACAATTTTTTTTTAGCATTAGACTGGATTTATTTTAAGATTTATTAAAACATTGCTCAGCCACACATCGATCTTGGACTAACCTTAAACCTAGTTTTTTGAACTCTGGGATAGAGTGTGTGTTGGGGGCACAGTGGTCTCATGGACTGGAATTATGTAGAATAAAGCTAGGTTGGCCAGGGTCAGGGTTATTATTGTTATTAAGGGCCATTAAGCTGGTTCCCGCTCACGGTAACCCTTCATCCAACAGAACAAAACATTGCCCAATCATCTTCACAATTGCTGTTTGAGCCCTTTGTTAAAGCCACTGTGTCGATCCATCTCATTGAGGACCTCCTTTAATCCAGTGACTGGGTCTTCTGATAGCATGTCCTGAGTATGTGAGACAAAGTCTCCTTATCCTTATATCTAAGAAGCTTCAGGCCATACTTCTAAAACAGATTTGTTCAGTCTTCTGGAGTTTCATGGTATATTCAACATTCTTCAAACCTGACTTGAGAGACTGTCATCTGGAAAGTGTGAAAGGGTATGGGCAGGCACACCTGTGTCTGTGCACTCAGCTCTTGGTTGTATGTCCAGTGTGTACCAGGGCTGACGTGGGTGGAGGACTAACAGAAAGGGCATTATTAAAGGGAGTTGTCTCATTCCGCTGTAAGGGCATGAGGACAGTGCCTGAGAACTCTGGGGAGTCCCAGAGGAGCCCCACCTCTCAGGCTCAGTCTTAATACTTAAGATGTGAAAGAAGGCGTGAAGATGAATCTGGGTAAAATTCAGACCCCCTGAGGTTCACAGCTCAGTGCTTCTCAGTCTCTTACCACAAAACCCACTTCCTGTGATGTTTTGTCCGTGGGTTTTCTCTACCATTATAAACTTCCTGTGGGCACAATTATGTAGGTTCCCAGAAAACACCAGCCACGATGAAAAGGTGAGGCTCCTGGCAGGGCTTCCTCTTCCTTCAGCACTTGGGACTACAGTTAGATTAGGAGTCTGAGGGTTCTTTGAGAACAGGATCTAGACCAGCCCCCTCCCTACCCAGGATAGTATTTCGGCTCTGGGTAGGGTTTTAGCAGATAATCTGCAGAGGGAGTGGTGGGCTGAAGCTGCCACATACAGCTAATTTTGATTCAAGAGGTCCTGGTGCCTCAAACAAAAGGTCTCCTTCCTGAAGTATGATGCTCAGATGATTGCTGAAGAATTCTTTCATAAGTCAGCACAGTTTCTGGAGTGCTGTCTATCCAGAAGTGAGGAAGACGAGTTTGGGGCATCCATTTACAGAAAGGTTTTTTCCCCCTACAAATCTCCATCCTGGGCAGTAACCCAAATTAAAGAAGATCATACAGTTCCTTTCTCTCCTCCTGCCTGTGGGGTTTCACTCATGGGGTAGTGGCTAAGGCCCTGCAGGCCTGAGGAAACTACAGAGGTAAGAATCCTCAGGTTAGGAAATGCCTTTTTCTCTTTTAATGACATTGGACACATCACTTTAGTATAGTTTATGGGATTCCTAGTTTTCCCATTTTTAAAAACTAGGGAAGATATTTGCTATTTCACTGAAAACAACAGCAATAACAAAACCATAGTTGTCATGGAGTCAACTCAGACTCCTAGCAACCACAGACAAGGTCTGTCCATATATCAGAGGAGAAATGTGTTCCACAGGGTTCCAGCAGATGACATACTGGAAGTAGGTTAACAGGATTTTCTTCTAAGGCACCTCTGGGTGGACCTGAACTTCCAACCTTGGTTAAAGGTGAGCACATCAATTGTCTGAATCACCCAGGGACTCGGCAGCCTTCATGGAGAAGATGAAAGAAGACAGTAAACATAAAAGGAGGTCAAGGAGTGGCACATAGTAGGTGCTTAAGGATATATATGTGTGTGTGTGTGTGTGTGTGTGTGTGTGTGTGTGTGTGTGTGTGTGTGAGAGAGACACAAGCCAATAAGCTGATTTCAGGACCCACAGTGTGTTCAGTGCAAGGTCACAGACCAAAATGAAAAGCCCACTCGAGCCCTCACAGGTGGAATCAGAATAACAGCACAGGAAAACCAAACTGCAGTTCATAAAACAGGATTCAGAATGTTTCAGGATGATGTCTTCAAAACAGACCTACTTTCAAAGCTTTGAGAATTACAGATTGGAAATAAGTTTGTGAAGTAAGCCCCAACTCAGAAAAAGCTGATACTCAATGCAGTAATACTCCTCCCTTCAAAACCTTTCCCTGCCCTGAAACTTGGGATGACTCTCCCTCCTGGGGGCTCAGGTGTATCACCTGTCCTGCTGTTACCTTCTCTTGACGGGCCTTGCCCCCAGGTGGCAATGACTCCTTAGGAGAGTGGCCACCTGACCCAGGCTCACCCTGTACCCCAATCCTTAGCACCGTGCCTGCTCTGGTGTCAGCACCTGAAGCGTCTTTTCTTCATCTTAAAGAATACCATATGCAGAGAAGGTAATAAAGAGGATAAGGATAAGACTTCCCACTGCTGACCCACCAAGAAAGAAATCAAAATATCAGTATGCTCTACATGAAGTGTCTGACAGACTAGGGTCCATAGACTAACTCCAGGTGTGGAAAAGGGAAGAGGGGAGAATCATAGCTCTGACAGATGGTGGCTGAGAGGGCAGGGACACAAGAAGGGGGTCTGAGAGCCTGGGCAGATGATTGACTTGAGGGCAAAGCAGCACAGCCCTGAGGTGCTATTCTGCCATTGGAGAGGGTGCCTAGGTAAATAGGCTCACATCCAGCACTGCAGGGCCACTGCCCTGACAGGGTCAACTTCAGATGGCAGGTGGGCTTGACTGCACACCCTACCTTTCCCTCATCCCACTCCTTGTCCCCACTTTAGCTTCACTGGAATTGCTTAGTGCAAGTAGGTGCCGGAGGGTTAAAATGCAGGCCTGCTGGAGACCCAGAGAGCACCTGGGCTTGGTGCCCACAGGGGATTAGATTTGCAACAAAGTGGTGAGCTGGCAACAATGACACTGTCCCTTCTTTACAGAGTACTTAAAGGAGCAGTTGGACCAGTATGTGAAGGAGCTGCAGATCGTGAGGGTGGTGAGGCAGCAGGAGCGGAAAGGGTTAATCACTGCCCGGCTGCTGGGGGCCAGCGTGGCACAGGCAGAGGTGCTCACCTTCCTGGATGCCCACTGTGAGTAAAGGGGTGCTCCCTGGCAGCCAGGAGGCCTGGGTGTAGTCCGTAGCCTTCTCAATGGGCTTCAGCGTCCTCCTTGGTAGGACAGAAAGCTGGGACCGTAGGGAGCGTCACGGAAGCCCATTCCTGCCTCGGGCCCATCCTAGCCTTTCCCACTCTGTCATTTCTAACTCCAGTGTGGTTTTTCAGAAGAAATAAGCAATACTCAAATTCCCAGTGACCAAAAAATCCCAAGGAATGAGCTTGTGATCCTCCATCCTCCCCCCAGCTCCCTCCAGACCCCCTCCCCTCCCATCTGAACCTTGTTCTGCGTTCAGCACCCCCACCACCACTGATGCTGGCATCTATGGAACTTTCCCAGGTCTACACAGAGCCAGAAAGACCTCTCATCCTGTCTCAAACCAAAATATCTCCCAACCTTTATCAGGGAAAAACATATCCTAAGAGTCTGCATGGGACTCAGAAGACCTGGCTTTGCCTCCTGGCTCTGCCACTGACTGGGCCTCAGTTTCCTCTTCTGTTAAGTGAGATTGAAGATTCTGACTTTACTCATCTAACAGAAATTATTGCTCTGGGAACCAAATGAAGTAGTCCATGCAGAAATTCACTGAAAATCTGTCCATATTCTTCTACAGCTGGAAAGAAAACTTAAGAGGCAAATACCCCTGGGAAAGGAAATACCCCCTCCTGAAACCTTATTGGGTGAAGAGAGTGGAAACCTTGGATCACTGGAGGTGCCATCCCTGAGGGTGGTGTCTATGAGTTGGGAAGTTTCTAGGGCTCCCATCGTCCTCTCTAAAGCTGCCTCCATCTGAAATAACTGGGGTGTAAGAGTGGAGTCTGCTGTTTCTCTGTAACCAAGGAGTGAGTAGAGGGGGTCTTCCCCTGGGATGGGCCTAGGCAGGTCCCTGACTGCTGCCTCTTGCTCTGGGCCTACAGGTGAGTGTTTCCACGGCTGGCTGGAGCCCCTCCTGGCTAGAATCGCTGAGGATGAGACAGTGGTGGTGAGCCCAGACATCGTCACTATCGACCTGAACACATTCCAGTTCGCCAAGCCCATCCAGCAGGGCAGAGTCCATAGCCGGGGCAACTTTGACTGGAGCCTGACTTTTGGGTGGGAAACTGTCCCTCAACATGAGGAGCAGAGGCGCAAGGATGAGACCTACCCCATCAAGTAAGGACCACAGCCTGGGAAGCCCCCAACCTGCCCTCTGTGGCCCCAATTCTGCCCACTTCCAGGGACCTGACCATCTCACATTAACATTTCTTAAGCACTGTACAAAGCATGTGACACCTGTTATTTAAGCCTCATTCCCTAAGTATTAGCCTGTTTCACAGATGAGAACACTGGGACTCACTGTGTTATTTGAACTACGTTCGCTTAGCTAGCAAATGATGAAGCAAGGAGATATGTCCTGGCCTACCTGGCCCAAAGCCCTTACTCTTAACTGTGGCACTATACTGCCTCATACCCTCACAGCTTATTCAACCACTCTGTGTCAGGAACTAGGCTAAAGGCTTTAGCATACTTTATCTCCTTTATTCTTCCTCATACATTGAAGAGCAAGAATAGTACTTGTAGAGTGGGTGAGAAAGGGAGTGTAAAGGTCACTGCTGAATAGCCTTAGAACGGAAGACATGCCACGTGTGCTCCGGTCACTTTGAAAGGACAGAATCTATTAAGAGACTAGTGTCCTGTAGTTTGCTCTTTGACACAGCTGCCATGAACTTTTTCTGCAAAGGAACAGCTGGTATTTTATCTTTTGCAGACCCCAAACAATCTGTTACATGTATTACAACTCTTTAAAAAACTGTAATGTTGTTCTTAACTCCAAAACCTTACAAACAGACTACAGAACCAGATTTGGCCATGGCTTGCCAATCTCCGATCAATCCTTATATCCCTAGTGTATGATGGATTTCGTTGTTGCCCTGAAACGCCTCCAACTCATCCCCCATGTGAAGAGTAGAACTCAAGTCTGTGACCTTTTGGAAACAGACCACCAGGCATGTCTTCCAGGGGAGCTCTAGGTGGGTTCAAGTTGCTAACTTTTCAACTAGTAGTCAAGTACTTAACTGTGCCAGCCAGGCACTCCTACATGGTAAATACTCAGAGACTATCCAACTCTGAGTATCTGTTAATACAAGGCCTAAGTGAACTCCCCTCCCCCTGATCCAGTCACCCTGTTCTTCCTTTCCAGACTGCCTAGTGGTGGTGGTGGTAGAGACCACAAGTTTGTTTTAACAGTTGGGGAGTGACTTTTAGAATATTTGGTTTTGGATTATCTTCTCCATTGTTTTTCTCTATTGGTCAGGAAACCAAAGAACAACTGAATGTACATTGTGGGTGGAGGGAAGGGCAAGTTGTAGAGCCTATAGCTGGCAATAAGAGAGTAATTTTAAAAGGAGAGGGGGCTGGAATTCCATTCGCTTCACAGAACCCAGAAACCTGAGCGATACTACCCAGAGGCTCCAAAGAGACACTCTGGGGGCATCCCAAGGAGAATGCCCATGGAGCCTGAAGAGCCAGCTGCTGACTTTATGGTAGGGTGAGGGGAGCAGCAGCAGAAAGGGAGGGGAATGAAGGAAACCAGAATTCCCTTACTGTCCTTCTACTTGTCTCATAGATGCCTTCTGTGTAGGGTGTACAGCAGAGCCCCCCAGCATGGCCAGGCACATGGCAGTACAGAAACAGAGCACCTGGCCCCTGTCCATCACTGATATCCCGGCTCCAATTTCCCAGAACCATGCTGCTGGAAGACAAAGCTGCAGTGTTTGTGGAAGGAATTTGCTCCTCAGTCCAAAAGCCCTGGTAGCTGGAATGACTAGCCCAAAGTGCTTTGCACTAAACTTCACTAGGGTGCCTGCTGGCAGTACCCATAATCAGAATTTTCAAAGCTAGCTGGAAGCTAAGAGGAGAAGTTAGAGGACCCAAGGGGTCCCAGGAAATACTAGGGTGTTTTCCAGAGATTGCCTGCTAGCTGTCAAGATGTGATGTTCCCCAAGTGGTGCTTATCCTCAGAGCTGGTTTGTCAGTGACTTTCTGACTGGGTACTAGCCTGAAGGTACCCATCCACATGGGCTCAGGTTTACAGAATCCTTAAGGAAAAAGAGCTTAGCTTTCAAGTATTTATCTGTGATTGTAGGACTTTCTGAGCCTCTCCAAATCCCACGTGGGCTAGCTTGGATTCTAATGATGTTGTGCACCATCAAGTTGGAATCTACTTATAGCTGACCCTCAGTGGGTTTTCAGAGACAGTTAATCACACAGGAGGAGACTGACCATCTTTCTCCTGAGGAGCAGCTGGTGAATTCTAACTGTGTACCTGTGTGTTGCCAGTGCAACTCATTATCATTAATTAGGCCACCAGAATTCCCTATATGGAGGCACAAAACCAGTAACAGAATGTCAGCCTGAGTGTGAGGATTCACTGGCTGACATTTATAACAGAAGGTGGCTGTGTATAGTCAACGTCAAGGTGACGAGAGGAGCCTCAGGGTCATCTGGCGCAGGCTTGGGTGGTCACCCACATAAGTGGGTCTGATAAGCCCTGGTTGAGCCTTGCTAGGTGCAAGGCCCTTGGAGCTGTGGTTGCATGATGTATGATGTACTGTGCAGGGATGGTGGTTTGAATGCACCAGCTGCTCTGCAGGAAGATGGGTAATCTCCTCTCGTAAAGATTACCAGCATCAGAAACATGATGGAGGGTCCCTACAAATCAAAACTTACTCAAGGCAGTTTTCGTGTGGGTTTCATGTGTGAGGCACTTCAACCTGCTTTGGGCCTACAGAGGAGTCAGTGTCTTCCTGCTTAGTTGGAACTACCCACTGAGAGCAGCAAAGCCCTTAGCCAAGCAAATCCAGGCCTATGCTGGGCCTCTCTCATTCCTTTCTGTTACCTCTTCTGCTACTGGGTAATCTTACTGTTGAATACTGAGCTCCTCTTACTAGGAACACATCATCTAAATTAAAGCAATGAGTTGTTGCTTTTTTTTTTTATCTGGAGTCTATACCCTGCCCCTTCCCTTTGTCTAAAACATAAACTTTTATAACTTTCTAAACACTCCCTTTAATCCAAATTGAGTTTGTTCTCACCTCATCCTATTCTCCAGAATACCATTTTTCAATTTCCCCTCTTCAACACAGCTGACAGACAGGGTCCTTCTCATATAGGGAGCTCTAAAGACCACCCTAAGAAGCCCTGGTGGCATGGCTGGTTAAACATTGGGGTGCTAATCAAATAGGTGGTTAAAGGTTTTAATCCACCAGCTACTCCACTAGAAAAAAAGTAAGTGGTTTTACCAGGAAACATGTGATGTCTGTGCTGCTGGGCCCTGGAGTGGGGGAGGGTGGGGGGGGGTGGAGGTGTTCCTAAGTGTGAGAACTGTGTCTACATGGTTCAAAGACTTACAGTCTTGGAAACCCTAAGAAACAGTTCTACCCTATCTTTCACATTTTCTATGGGTCAGAACAGACTTGACAGCAGAGGGTTTGATGATTATTTTTTTTTAATGTGTGTACCGTCAAATTGGATCTGACTGGTACAGGAGGTGATTGTTCCTCCTTCAGCAGAGCATTTGGTGGATCTGAACTGTGCACCTCTGGGATTGCAGTGCAGTTTCCTGCCACTAGGCCACAGAGCTCACCAGAGGGTTTGATTTTTATAGGTTGCTGTCTTAGTTATCTTTTGCTAAAAATACCACAAGTAGATGACTTTAACAAACAGAAATATATTCTTTTACAATTTAGGTGGCTGGAAGTTTGGCTCTAGGGGACAGCTTTCTTTCTGCCAGTTTTAGATGTCTCTGTTTCCTTTAGCTCCCGTAAGGATGGCATTCTTCAGAGGTCTCCATGTGTCTCAGCCTTTCTGAGTGTCAAGGATCTTCCTAGCACAGGGACCAGGGTCCAAAATGATGCTCTCCACTCCTGATGATTTCTTCTGGGTGTTAACTGAAGTTCCCCCTTAACTTGATTCCCTCCCCTTTTATCTCTTGTGAGATAAAAGGTATTACAGGGCTCACCTTAGGGAAACAACCGGGCTATGATGGGATTAAGGGTACTCCACCCCTAATCCTTTTGTAAGTATTTAGTTTATCAGATCATGGAGGATCATTACATAGTTTCCACATTATATCATACCATACATGATTTTTTTTGGACAACACAATTTAAAGCATGAGTGTTGTGTGGTACAGCTGACTCATAGATGACCCTCCAGTAGGTTTTCAAAGGCAGTAAATTTGCACAGGCAGAGACTGCCCATCGTTCTCCTGTGGAACATGAAACATGGAGTTTCAAACCAGGTGCCTTTGAGTTGGCAGTGCAATTCCTTACCACTAGGCCACCAGAGATTGTTTGTATTGTTAAGTGCTGTCAAGTTGACTATGACTCATAGTTACCCTATGAACAGATCTGAACCCTGTCTGATCCTGTGCCTTTCGTATCATCTCTGACATACTTGAGCCCATTACTGTAGTCACTGTGTCAGTATATCTCCCTGAGGGTCTTCCTTTCACTGACCCTCCACCTTTCCAAGCATGATGTCCCTTTCCAAGGAATAGCATCTACTAACAAAATGTCCAAAGTATGTGAGGCAAGACTGGTGAAGCTTCACATCTAAGCTTCACCAACCTTACCTCAAAGGAGCATTCTGGCTGCACTTTCTCCAAGCCGTATCTATTCATTCTTTTAGCTGTCCATGGGATAGTCTATATTCTCCTCCAATACCACAACTCAAAGGCATCAATTCTTCTCTGTCATCCTTATTCAGCTCTCAAATGCATAGCAGGTGATTGAAAAGAGCATGAATCGGGTGCTTCTTTGTCTTTAAACTCTTATAACTGCTCTACATGACTTTGGAGAGGTCCCTGACAGCAGACTTTCCCAATGCAATCCATCTCCTGACTGCTGGTGCAAAAAAAAAAAAAAAAATCATTCATTAAATCTTTTCTCCATCTATGTTGCTTATTGGTCCAGTGGTGAGGATTTTTGTTTTCTTAATGTGGCTATACAATCCATTTCATAGATTGTAGTCCTCAATTTTCTGCAAAAAGTGCTTCAGGTCCTCCTCACTTTGAGCAAGTAAGGCCGTGTCATCTGCCTAACACAGACTGTTGATGAGTCTTCCTCTGACCTTGATGGCACATTTTTCTTCATAAAGTTCAGCATCTTAAATTATTTGTTCAGCATACCTTTTCAATCTGTACGCAGAACAGATCATGTGGGAGGCTGGGCTCTCTGAGGAGAAATGTGGAGATTGGCAGAAGATCTATCAACAATCTGCGTTATGCAGATGACACAACCCTGCTTGCTGAAACTGAGGAGGACTTGAAGCACTTGCTGCAGAGGGTCAAGGACTGTAGCCTGCAATATGGATTGAGACTCAATGTCTAGAAGACAAAGATTCTCACCACTGGACCAATTGGCAGCATCAGGATGAATGGTGAGGAGATTAAGGTTGTTCACAGCTTTAGTCTGCTTGGCTCCACAATCAACACTCTTGGCACCAGCAGCCAGGAAATTAAAAGGCGTATTGCGATGGGAAAGTCTGCTGTTAGGGACCACTCTAAAGTACTGAAGAGCAACGGTGTGTCTCTGGAGACTAAGGTGCGTCTGGTACAGGCCATGGTCTTTGCAAAAAACTTGTTATGCACCAGAAAGCTGGACAATGACCAGGGAGGATAGAAGGAGAATTGATGCCTTTGATTTGGTGTTGGAGAAGAGTGTTGAGGGTACCATGGACTGCTAAGAAAACAAACAGATTAATCCTGGAGAGGGTTAAACCAGGCGGCTCCTTGGAGGCAAGGATTCTGAGGCTCCGTCTGACATACTGTGGTCATGTTGTAAGGAGAGACCGGTCCTTGGAGAAGGACATCATGCTTGGGAGGGTGGAGGGCAGGCACAGGGGGGGGAAGGCCCTCTGGGAGGTGGACTGATTCAGTGACTGGGGCAATCAGGATGAGTATTTTAGAGACAATGAGATTGGCACAGGACAGAGCAGAGTTTAGAGCTGTTGTACATAGGGTCGCTATGAGTCGCGACTTGACGGCACATAACAACAACAACATACAAATTGAATTGTATGGAGAAAGGATACAGCCCTGATGCACACCTTGCTTGATTTTAAACCATGCAATGTTCCCTTGCTCTGTTCAGATGACAGCTTCTTGGTCTAGGTATAGGTTTCATGTAAACACAACTAAGTGTTTGGAGATTCTCATTCTTCTCAATGTTAGCCACAGCTTTATGAGCTACATGGTCAAATGTTTTTTGCATCATCAATAAGACATATTAGAATAGATATTATTCTGCTGTTCTATGCTTTCAGCCAAGATCTATCTGATGCCAGCAATTATATCCCTCAAGGATGCCAATACAATAGTAGCCTTATATTACAGTTGGCTTAATGGCAACAAATTTGGGTTTGAGTTGTGAGGACCTTACCGAAAGAACAAACAAATATGGCCTGGAGAAGATGCAGCCAGAGTGCTCCTTAAAGGAAAGGACAGTGAAGCTTTGTCTCACATACTTTGGGCATATTGCTAGAAGGGGCTATTCATGCTAGAGGGACATCATGCTTGGGAAGGTGGAGGGGCAGTAAAAGAGTAGAAGACCCTCAAGAAGATGGATTGACACAGTGACTGTAGCAATAGGCTCAAGAGTGTCACAGATCATAAGGATGTCACAAGATAGAATAGAGGTCAGATGTGTTGTTTATAGGGCCACTGTGAGTCCTACTCAACTCAACAGCATGTAATAACAACAGAGTAGTGCCCTGATTTGTGCTGGACAACTTACTAAAGAGCCTGCAGTTCAAGATCACCCAGTATTGCTCTACAAGGCGTGGCAGTGTTCTATAAAATGTACAGCAAGAAAATGACATAGAGCAGTTCTACTCTGTGACACACAGGGTCACCATGAGTCAAAATCAATGACAAGAGGTTGGCTGGTTGTTGATTTTTTTTTCTTCTTCTTCAATAATCTCAGAAGGGTTAAGTGACCTAAAATAATATAGAGCCAGCCCAGTTGATCATTTTTGTTCATTCATTATTTCAATCTATACATTTCCAGAATCAATTTCAAACAACTTCTGGTAATTGAGTATCTACTATGTTCTAGGTACTTGACTGCCAAAAAGCAAACTATGTTAGCTTTCTTGTATGTGACAAGACTAAGCAAAGAATGAGCTCTGTGTCCTTCTGTGCCCTGAATGTCCAGTGTATAGCATAAGTTCCAGAAGCTGGTGTTTAATACATTGTTGGTTGAATCAATCAGTGCCTGGAAGACAGAATGATTACATTTATTCTTGGCCTTTAGGAGGGCACAAATTAAAAAACTCAAACCCACTGCTGTCAAGTTGATTCTAACTCATAGAGATTTTCCATCAAGTTTCTAAAGTTGTAAATCTTTACAGGAGGAGACTGCACATCTTTCTCCTGCAGAGCAGTGGTCATATTAAAACTGCTGATCTCTTCACTAACAGTGTAATAAATAATGCCACCAGAGCTCTCTTAGGAGAAGAGGATGTAGTAAATGCTCAGGAAATGTTGCAAAATGAAGGCCTTAGAGGGAGAGGAAGTGTACATCTGCAGCGAGAGGGCAAGTGGGCGTCGAAGGGGAGGAGGTATTAGAGGTGATTCCACAAATGGCTAATCCATGCCAAACTCCTGATGCTCTTCACCCTAGAATATGCACATACTTCTTTGTTTCTCTAGATCCCCGACGTTTGCTGGTGGCCTCTTCTCCATCTCCAAGAACTACTTTGATCACATCGGTACCTATGATAATCAGATGGAGATCTGGGGAGGGGAGAACGTGGAAATGTCCTTCCGGGTGAGAGTGAAAAAGGCTTCTGTGGGGAGGGTGGTAAATCACAATGTCCCAGGGTACACCTGAGAGCTCTTCTCTGGAAGAGCAATAGCCTCAGGGATGTCACAAAATGGAACAGAACATAAAGGGATGCTTGATTCTCATCAAAGTTCTACCTTTCCCCTGAACCTCTTCCTGTCCAAGGCAGAAAGTCTGAGAGAATCAGATTGGACAAATTATGGGGCAGCACCTCTCAGGAGAAAGGGGCCATAAGGGACATCTTGGAATAAGTGACATCTTTCATGATGTCTGTGGGTAAAGGATGAAGATGCAAACTGCTCAGAATCCAATCACCATCCTTTTTCTGGGGGCTAAAAAAGCTCCCCTGCCTAGGTCATAGAACTTACACTCTGGAGGCCCTGCAGTTGCCCTGTGCTCAACAAGTGCTGCAGGACAAGATGGTGGACCAAGTGCTAGTGGATCTCAGAACTCTGAGGAATTCCAAGAAATGGGCTGATCAGGATCAAGACAGGAAAATTTCCTTGCCATAAAATCTGCACAAGTTGCTGTGCCTGTAGAGAGGTAACAAACAAGTAAATGAGCTCATTTATGAAGTCACCTCTCATGGTGCCTGGCACATGTTAAACCTGTAATTGGTAACTGCTGATACTCTATTACAATGTGTTTATGTTGTTGTTATACTAGAAATTAATAACAGCACAATTCCCAGGCTTGCAACAACCCAGTTACCGTAACTTCCAGGGCTCTGGTTTTAGCCTCTCCAATAAGCGCCTGTCCTCTAGCCAACCTTGCTCCTGAAGCATTAGTGGGCTAAAGGCCCAGGGGACTACACAGGCCACCTGGCAGTTGGCAACATCACCATCAATGTATTGATGCTCTGCTTTGGTTGACAAGTTTATCTTGACTTGAGGAGCTGTAATTTCCAGTAATGATTAGATGAGCTGATAAAAATCACATTTTCAGGGTAAAAAGCCAAGGGACCAAAGTTCACAGTAAGTATACTGGCACACTGTTAACCAATTGTCTTTTCTCTAGGGAGTGCCCTGGTAATCCTCCCACTCTAATCCCACAACAGACAAAAGAACACAGCCATCAAGTCTATTCTGGCGCATACCAACCCTTTAGAACTGCCCCATAATGTTTCCAAGGCCAAGATCTTCATGCACACAGACTGCCTCATCTTTTCCCACCTTCTAGTTAGCAGACCAATGCTTAATGCATCACACTACCAAGACTCCTTTTCATAACCTTCAGGATCCTGCAAATCTCTATTTGCCTAAGTCTGATTGGGCTAACATCCAAGATCATAAGGCTGTGTAGACATGACCTGGCAAAAGACCTACCTTGACCCCTAGTACCTTGAGGACCTTGAGACACAGAACAGAGCTGTGTGAAGAGAGGTTTTTCGGATAAGCCCTGAAGTTCCTGCCGTTTCTTCTGTGGTAGGTGTGGCAGTGTGGGGGCCAGTTGGAGATCATCCCATGCTCTGTGGTAGGCCATGTGTTCCGAACCAAGAGCCCTCACACCTTCCCCAAAGGCATCAATGTCATTGCTCGCAACCAAGTACGCCTGGCTGAAGTCTGGATGGATGGCTACAAGGAGATTTTCTACAGGAGAAACATGCAGGCAGCAAAGATGGCTCAAGAGGTAAGAGTAGTGGTACTCAGGAGGTGTTTTAATCAACAGAAATGCAGAATCCCAGACGCTGGTTAAGGTCTCATGAAAAAGGACACCCCATCTCTGCCATCCAAGCTGGTCTCTCCTTCACCTCTCTCAGACCTGTGAGGGAGAGTCCCAGGCACAGAGATTTTGAAAGATGAATGAGAAGAGGAACATTTTTTGTCCCCCCTCCCTGAGGGTGCCACATCCTTTAGGAGGAAAGGGGAGGAAGAGCCTCTTGCAGAAGGAACTGCTCTGAGAGGTCTGGAATTGAGGACATGGAGAAAAGTAGTAGACAGTCACCAGAGATGAAGGGGAGGCTATAAATGAAGAGAGGTCAAGGCAGGGGGTTTGTTCCTGAGTATGAGTTTAAGACAATAGCCCCACCAAGTCCTGAGCAGGAATGAACCTGAGGCACACTTGGGGGAAGGTGCCCCAGGAATTCCATGCTGTCTGGACTGTTGCAAACAGATGGAAAGGTCACAAGAGTGGCACTGACTTTTAGGGGCTGGTTTGTTTGACAGAAATCCTTTGGTGACATTTCGGAAAGACTAAAAATAAAGGAACAACTACACTGTCACAATTTCTCCTGGTATCTGCACAATGTCTATCCAGAGATGTTTGTCCCTGACCTGAAACCCACCTTTCATGGAGCCGTAAGTCTTGAAAGCAATCTGCTTATCTACCATCATATCATCCCTTAGAGAAATTCAGAACCACTTAGCCACAGACAGATGGCAAATGAGAATTTATTTTTTTCCCTACATGTCCCCTTTATCAGGAGCTATTGTTGCTTGTGGTAGGGCTACCAACCCAAAGGTACCTGGTTCAAATCCACCAGCTGCTCCAAGGGAGAAGGATGGACAATACCCTTCCATGCGAATTACTGCCTCTAAAACCCACTGGAGGGTAAACTTCGAGTCATTTCTGACTCTGCAGTACCAAACAACAGTTAACACCCCCTTAATCTAGGAAAAGGGCTGAGTGGCTACTTTGGGGTTTCCACAATTAGCTAAAAACCTTGACAAAAGGAAAACTACCCAGAAGCCAGATCATCAGATGTTAGAGAGCTGGATAGACTAGATAAAGTCATCTTGCTGGGCTCTGCCCCCAGTTTCTGGTCTGAAATTTTGCATCTCTAGTAAGTTCTCAAGAAGCTCTGGTGGCCTAGTGGGTAAGGATTTGCACTGCCAGCCCAAAGGCAGACAGCTCAAATTCACTAGCTGGTTTTTTTTGGGGAAAAGATGGGCAGTCTCTTTCCGTAAGACTTAGAGCCCCTGAAAACCAGCTAGAGAGTCAGCTATGAGTCAGTTCTGACTTGATGATGAAGAGGGAGCAAGTTCCCAGGTGAATCACTCTTAAGGGAACTCTCATGTGCTGAGGGCTTCTTGAGACCTGGAGGATGTCTCGTACTGCCCTAGCCCAGCATTTGGGGCTCTGGGTCTCACTTTACTATTAATTCCAGGCATCTGGATTGATGAGCAGAGGGGAAACACCTCAAATTAGGAAACTCCTGATTGATTGTCTTCTCTGCCTGGCACTCTGTTTGCAGATCAAGAACCTTGGGATCAGTCAATGCCTGGATGTGGGAGAGAACAACTCTGGCGGAAAGCCTCTCATCATGTACGCCTGCCATGGCCTCGGCGGTAACCAGGTGTGCAGCAGAGCCCCACGAAAGCACATCTTCAAAAAGCCTGCCTCTGGGGCATTCTCTCTCCTCATAGACCCCCTTTATACCCTAAACTGTCTTTTCCTGAGACTTAGAGTGGGGAAGATCCAGAGAAAGAGGAAGAAATAACAGCCCTGCCCTCAAGATGCTCCTGAGGGTCTGAGGGAGAATATTTGATATAGATGAGATCTGGATTAGGAACATCCAGAGAGAGCCCTGGCTAGAGGGCCTGCAATTGGAGAGGCTTCCTGGGTGATGTGAGCTGCAAAGTGATGCCAGACACGGAGTGTGGACATTTTTGAAAGCTTTCACTCCCCTACACTCAAATTTAATCTTCAGTGTCCCCCAACTGCCAGAAGTTGCCCCTCCAACTTTATCTTCCCTGCAGTGTCCCCAAATGTCAACCACTTACTGAAATCTCTGATGGCCTAGTGGGTAAGAAATTTTGCTACCGACTCAAATGCACCACCAGGTGTGAAAAAGATGAGCAGTCTGCTCCTGTGTAATTTAAACCTCTGAAAAACCTGCTCCAGGGTCAGCTCTGAGTCAGTTCTGACTCCATGATACTCCCAGGTACCTAGCATCTTGATAATTTACCCTAAGCACTACAATGCTCCATGCTTTTCCTGAATGATACCTACTAACCTCCCTGTCCCGAGTTCTTCAATCTACTCTGAATGAAACAGAGCTGAAACAAAGAAAGGAGACAATGAACAGGTGGCATGAAGATGAAGTCATTCTAAACCAGTTTTCTGTAAGACTGGGCTGAAAGATTGTAGGTGGTAAATTTATTAACTTTTTAAATTTTAATAGTAATCTATTATCAAAAGAAGAAACCCAAGGCATTGGTGCTTGAGTAGTTGAATTCTTACCGTCTGTGCAGGAGCCCTGGGTTCAGCTCCCAGGCCGTGCACCTGATGGGCAGTCACCATCCGTCAGTGGAGGCCTCTGTGTGGCTATGACGATGAGCAGGTTCAGTGGCGCTTCCAGGCTAAGGCAGAAGAAGGACTGAAAATCAGTAAGCGGCAAGCCCGAGAATTGAAGCCCAAATATTTCTGACTGGAAAGCATGAGCTCTTCCTCAGGACAGACAATGTAACTTCAAAAATGAAAGTCCTGCGCACCGCAACAGTCTGATTCTGATCATGGAGACAGTGCAGGACCAGGCAGCTAGCTTCTTACGACATTGTATGTGAGGTGGTCATGAGTTTGGGACTGACTCAGCAACAGTAGCTTCAAGCAAAAACGGCTCGTCTGCTACATACATGGTGTCACAGATATTACTTAGAATGAGGGAGCTCTAGTGGCTAAGTGGTAAGGAACCAATGCAAAGGTATGTGGTTCAAATCTACTAGCTGCTCTGTGGGAGAAATATGAACATTCTCCTCCTATGTGATTTATTGACCTCCAGCAGGGGTTGGTTCTGACTCAATGATACACAGCAGCAATAACAAAAATTTAGAATGTGGCTAAGTAAAAATTTTAATTACAAGGAAAAAATAAAATGTTATTCTTCCTGTGTAACCCAACCCTGGTAAAAATCCTGAAGGTAGCACAATGTAATCACCAAGGTCAAGGCAAGTCTTAGCCTGCTCACTTTCCTCTGGGTCTGGCTAGGCCGCAGTTGGCATCTTAAAGTTGGTGGTATTAGAAGGCCATGGGCAAATTCTCTGCCTCGCTCTCAGGACTTCTCTTATCTTGCCTTCCAGTATTTTGAGTACACAACTCAGAGGGACCTTCGCCACAACATTGCAAAGCAGCTGTGTCTACATGCCAGTGCTGGCACTCTGGGCCTTAGGAAGTGTCACTTCACTAACAAAAATAGCCAGGTCCCCAAGGACGAGGAATGGGAACTAACCCAGGTGAGTGTGCCAACCAGAAAGTTTGACATCAAGCTGACACCCCTATTACTCCTGTGCTTATGTACACCATCATTTGCCTGAGCCACCAAGGGGTGGGTCAGGGAATATAGAAAACTTAAGAGGTCAAGGCTTGGTCACAGGCAAGCTTCTCAGGGGATGGCTACTGGGGGTGACAGGAAAATGAGGTTAGGGATTACGGTCCATGGTCAGCTCTGCTATGGCCTGAGAGTTTTTAGGCTGAATCCAAGTCAATGAAGGTGAAGCTCATGGTTACTGCCTGAATGCCAGGTGCAGTATCTGATTTGGAAACATATACCACAGGGCCTTGAGATATATAATGTAACTTTCACAATACAAATCAGTCCCCCATGATCCTCCACACTCTATCCCACCCCAATCTCTAGTTCCTGGCTTAGGTAAAGAGGAGCTGAACCTTGAGGGTTTAAGGTAAGAAATAAATTATGATCAGAGACAGAAAATGGAGATGAACAGTGGTGGCTTCAGGTCTGAAGCCTCATCAGGGATAAGTGAGGAGAGTCTAAAAGCATTTTCCAGTTATTGTCATTAGTTGGATTTTGGTTGATTTGTCTTTATTTTTCAGTTATCCATCTTTCTGTGTTCTTCTGTGCCAGCAACATAGGCTAAAGTTGAGGGTGGGGAAATGGTGCAAAGATATCTAAGTGGCATGTGGAGGAGAGAACTTTGGAAACGTCTTTTAGGTTTCCTTTGCCTTTTATGTATTGCTCCTCCATCTTGTACAGCCCAAGTCAATCCTTTGCTATGCCTTCTTTTAGGATCGGCTCATCAGGAACTTAGGATCTGGTACCTGTCTGACATCCCAAGACAAGAAACCAGCCATGGTCCCCTGCAACCCCAGTGATCCCCACCAGAACTGGCTCTTCATTTAATCCACACGAGTGGAGCCTCCACAATCTCTCAGGAAACAGGACTGCTGATACCTGGAAACCGATCATCAGCACTTTCATAGGCCTTGACAATGGATTTCTAAACCCAATGAAAGTCAAGGCAGGACAGGGCTTTTCTCCTTGCAGAATCCATGGGCTGCAGCCATGAAAGCACAGATTGAAGGAAGGATTTGGTTTAGGACTTTTTTTCTCTGTCCTAGCATCAGAGACCTCCAAAGCAGAGAAGGTGGCTAAAGAAGCACCCAGGACAATAATACTGAATTCAAGAGAAGTACCTCTGTAGCTGTGTTCTCAATCCCTTGTCACCCAGTGCATCACAGAATATAGGCAAATAATATGTCTTAATAGAGAGAGTAGAGGTCCAAGACAGCCTCCCTTGCTATTACTCAAAGTGTGTAGTACTGTTTATGGTTTCCAGAAAGCATCTGGATCAGTATCCATTATCTTATTTCATCTGCACAAAAATCCTTAGAGAAAGACATACCAAGAATAATTCTGCCCATTTCACAGATAACAAAACTAAGGCAGAGAGCTATCAAGGTGCTGGCCCAAAATGCCCCAGCTAGTGGATGGGGGAGCCAGGATTGAGGCTTAATCCTCAACTTAGTTTGGGCTCCTTCTCCCAAATCACAAGAACACTAGATAACTAGCAGCCAACTGTCCTGGTCCCTCTTCCCACTCCACTTCTGATAATGTCTCATTGAGAGTGACCTCATTTGGGAATTCTGAGATGTTGGTGTTGAATGCTAGTTCATGGAAACGAATGATTCTCAAATGTAAGTCCAGATCCCATCCTTTCCCCACACCCAAAACCTTGTATATAAAGTGGGTAACAGGCAGGGGAGCTCTGGTGGCCTAGTGGCAAGAAGCTGCACTGCAAACCCAGAGGTACATGGTTTGAATCCACCAGATGCTCTGCCGGAGAAGGAGGAGCAATATCCTCCTGTACCAGTCAGATCTGATTTGACGGTACACGCACACAAAATAATTAAATATATATATAAAGTGGGTAACAGGCAAAGTAGCTGTGGATGAAATTGAAGGAGAAAGCAATGCCTACCAGCACATGAACTTATAAGAATCTATAGAGCACAACTGAAAACTATTGTTTTAGTCCCACTTGATTATTTTCATATTGTAAAATGAATCAGGAGATAATTTGTTCAAGGCCACACAGCAGAGTGTTGGCAAATGTGAAGCTAGAAACCTAAGCTCCTGAAGCTAATGTGCGCTGTGAGAAGTCCGAGGAAGCAGGGACTGTGTGCAGAGAGAGTCAAGCACCCAATGAGTGGTGCAGCCATGACATGCATGTCACCACTTCTCCAAGCAAATCGCCACCCACGTGACCACAGCTGGACCCCAGTGGCTTCTTTGTCTGAAATAGAAGGTCCAGCTGACTTGTTTGTTGTTGCTATGTGCCGTCGAGTCGCTTACGACTCATAGCGATCCTATGTACAACAGCCCTAAACTCTGCTCTGTCCTGTGTCAATCGCACTGCCTCTGACACTCCCATCCCGATTACCCCAGTCATTGAATCAATCCACCTCATAGAGGGCCTTCCCCTCCTGCGCTGTCCCTCCACCCTCCCAAGCATGATGTCCTTCTCCAAGGACCGGTCTCTCCTCACAACATGTCCAAAGTATGTTAGACGAAGCCTCAGAATCCTTGCCTCCAAGGAGCCACCCGGTTTAACCCTTTCCAGGACGAATCTGTTTGTTTTCCTAGGGAGGACTAAAATTCTACCCAGCTGTGTTTCTTCTACCTCTCAGTGGCAGGCTGTCATCTTGGGCATTGCCACATGAGGGCGCCTTTGGACTGCAGCTACCTTCCGTTATCCCGCACCTCTGCACTTGGATATCCAGGTCCTGAAGAGCCACTGGGACCGCAGAGATGAGACATTCTAGAGTACCCAGCCAAAGAGAGAAGAAAATGGCCAGCAGACGACCTGGGGTAGAGAAAGGGGAAAAAATTCTTTTCTGGAAGAGGAGAGAATTGGACATGTGATCTCAGCAGGAAATAAATGTCTTATGACATTGGTAAAAAAAAAGTTTGTATTGAGCTTCTCTTCTCCTGTATTTTTCATGAACTGAACCATTTTCTTGTCTCCAAACATCCTCTGGCCCAAATCTAGACTATAAACTGTGTTGAGCACTGTGTACACATAAGCATGGAGAGATGTAAAATGAGGACCTTTTCAAATACAGCACATTCTTCTAGCTGGGGAAACAAGATAAAGAAATGACAAGCTAGGGGATATTCAAGATATGTGCTAGGTGAGTTAGAAGGAACAGATTCTTAGGAGAATCTGTGAAGGCCTCAAAAAGACAGTGACATCTAACTTCAGAACTCAAGGAACGAGTTCTAACGGGAACAATCACATGGGCAAAGGCACAGAGACACAAGTGATCCTGGAAAACTGAAAAGGACATCAGGGTGAGGTAGTGCGGGGAACAGAGATCAGACATACAAGGCTGAATCATGACATCTGTGGGCCCTAAATACTTTCAGTTTGTCTACTGCCAACCACCTTGAACAGACTAGATCTCTAAACCCATTTGCCTTCCTGGAACCCTTGCTCCATTGAATAAAAGTAAAATACATTTTACATCTGTATGAATAAAAATCAAGTTACATTTTACATCTGTGTTGGTAGAAAGCTAAATATCATCTAGGTTGCATTTGCTTTTTCTCCCTAATAATTTTTAAAGAAATGAAAATGTTTTCATCAACTCCTAAAGTATTGTAGTACCTAAACACTCTATTAACTGTGTAAACCAGCTTTGTAGAAGAGTGATTTGGAGCCCATTTGAGACTGGCTTTGAAGGCTATGTTAAGAAATCAAATAAATACAAGGAGCCATAAATTCTTACTCTAATCCTAGCCTTGTTCTCTTCTGTGTTCACCATCAATCAAGCATTGACAATTTGCCAAGTATTCCATCATCCTTCATATTGACTATAGCGTTTCCTAACAACTCCCCAGCCCAAACTTGTTGAAACATGTCCTACCAGAGAGCCCTATTTGTCAAGTTTCCCTACTCTTGCCCAAAAAGATCATGGCCTCTCCCAGGAGCAGTTGAATAAGTAACTCACAGGAGGTAAGAGACTTAACAGGAGGGAGGAAAGACTACACATCATACCTAGAACATATGCTCAAGCTGGGGGTTGAGGGGAGGACTAAGAAAAGAAGGCAGTTGGGATGAGGGAGAGGGTGCTGACAGTAATGATGGGAAGGCTCAAAAAACCAGCTTCATGACCTGTCCATTAGACCAACTTTACACTATCCCAACATCTGTATGGTACCTCAAACCCATTGCTCTCACCATTCTCAGAGATAACTTAGGGCCCCCAAATCTCAAAACTGCTTCTAACTCTGGGTTACTGTCTGGTTCCTGAGGCTGCTTACATGAGCAATGACTGAGCACTGGAGGGCTGCTTAATGCTACTTCCCACTTGCAAAGTGTGGAGCATTGCCAAAGATGGAGAGATGTCCCAGATTTGTTCCATTGTTAATTGATCATCAAGGAGTCAATAAAGAAAAACACAATAGGAAAAAGAAGTTAATCTTTACTCACCCCCTCCCATACCTATCCATTCCTCATTTAAATCTTATTCTTGATTCTTGTAGATCTTTTTTCAATGGATATGTACACACAAAAAAAAATCAACCAAACCCATTGTCATCAAGTGTATTTCAACATATAGGGATACTATAGGTCAAAGCAGAACTGCCCTATGGGGTTTCCAAAGCTACTCATCGTTACAGAGGCTGTTTGCCTCAACTTTCCTGAGGAATTCGAACAACCAACATTTCCATTAGCAGCCCAACACCTATTCTTTGCACCTACCCTCCTCTCTCACTATATTAAGGATTTTTTTTCTTTCATATCAGTCCCTTTAATTCTGATTATTTTTAACATTCCATCATATGGTCAAACCAAATTTAAACTTCCCCTATAGATGAATATTTGGGTTTTTTTTTAAATCTACTTTTAAGGGGAGCTCTGGTGGCCTAGTGTCAAGGAGCTGCAACTACAATCCCAGAGGCGCACAGTACAAATCCACCAGATGTTCTGCCGGGGAAGGAGGGACAATCTCCTCCTGTACCAGTCAGATCTGATTTGACGGTACACTCTCACACACACAAATAATAAAGTAAAAAAAAAAATCTTTTATATGATGATAAGGTATCCTCTAACAAATATCCTTGTACATTTATTTTTGTGTTTGCAAAGACTGCAAAAGGATGTATTAGGATTGGAATTAGACAGAAGGAATGCAGACTTCAGAATTTAAACTTAGACTGTAGTCCATGGCTAACATTAAGAATTAAAAGTAGGCCAAACTATACGTATGGGAGGTGAGGCTAGTTAAGTGGATCAGAGATAGCATTAAGTGGAGGCCTGCCTGAAGGGTCTGGTTTTGAAGTACGTATTGGGGTCCTCAAGCTGAGGTTTACGCAAGGTATCTTGAAGTCAGAGATGGAGAAAACACTGGCCCCTGCACTTGGATGCCCATCACCCTGGAATATGTATCATTAAAGGAGGGGAATCAAGGGGCTTTAGGAGACCTTACAGGCTCCCTTTCAGCTCTTCATGCTGCAGCTAAAGCTATCTCCTTTCTCTCCAGAGAAAGCAGGCAAGTAGGAGAGGAAATAATAAAAGAAGCCCTGGGTTATCTAAGCCAGCTATGCCGTCTTTCCCAAGGCCATTTAGGTGAAAGGGAGTCCTCCAGGATACCTAAGCTGCAAAACAAAGTACAGCTGCCCTGCACAGCTTACGGGTCTGAAAAGAGGGTGATCTGGAACTCTGAGCCTGTCTTGGAATCTCCTTCCTAGAGCTATAGGATCTTATGAGATCTTATAAGCATAGGTTGAATTCTGGCGTGTCTAATGCAAAGAAGTTCCTAGGTGAACCAGGTAAATCTCCTGCCTCCCTCTCGGCTTCCTGGCTTTTCCTTGCCAAAATAAAAACCCCATGCTTTGCCTTCATCACTGCTCCACCCACAGTTCTGCATCCACCTCTCTTCTGGGGCCTACAATGGCTCTGCGTATTTTACGCCCAACCCAAAGTTCTCCACCTACAATGCTCTTGGCACCCTGTGCCTCCCTCCTTTCTCCTCTCCTTGCCTTCCATCTCCTGCAAAGTATGCCTACTCCCACCTCTGGCTATCTCTACCCTCCACCTTCAAACCCCTCACAATATTTCCTTGTCCTAAGGGTGGCTTTCTCGGATCCATTCCACATTCTCCTCTTTCAATCTGGTTTCCCATCTGGCTCTCTGAAGCTTGTCTCTCAGTACTCTCCTCAATCAGAATTTTCTCTCCTGCTTTCATCTCCTTGCATTTGTAGCTATTTCTGCATCCTGAAACCTGGGGATGCTGCTGACTTCTTCTTGGCTTGGCTTCCTCTAACCATGCTCCTGCCCTCCATTCCACCCTTGCATCCACTTCTTGTATATAGGGGCACTAAGGACAGCAGTGGTGGACTTTGATGAGGGGGCACTCCAGTTCCAGATCTCCATTGCTGAAAAAAAGAATTTGTTGGATGCTTTTCAACTAAAAGCAGATGATTAATTTGGCCCTGACCTTGTTCTGTCTTTGAACAACAGATAAATGAGTTTACCTGAAAAGAAATCTTTTCATTTGTATTTCCATGTCACCTGTGATTTTCCCTGACTTCCACCCGAAGCCCTGCCAGCTGGCAGGAGGAAGGTCAGCAAAGCTGCTGATAAGAGGAATATAAAGAGGGCTTGGTGTGTGCAAGGGGGCAGTGGTCTGCTCTGCTGGCAACATGCTGCGCTTCCTGGTGTTCGCCACCCTGGTCCTTTATGGTAAGTGGGTCATCTGGCCCTAGTGCTAGTGTGAGGGGGACTTCAACAAAAGGGTCCGAAAGCTGTCCCTATGTCCAGACCTGATCCCTGTACCAGGGAGGGGTGGAACACTGCCTATAAGCAAAAACTTTACTCTCCGAAGTCCATGATAGAAAAGATCAGGGCCACACAGCACCCCCAGGTGGCAGATTCCTGATCTATGAAGCAGAGCAGCCTCTTCAGAGGGCCTGGGCTTCCCCAACACCACTACTGACAGAGAGAAACACTCATACCCAATTGGAATGTCCCCTGAGGAACCGTGTTAAAGCAGAGGTTGAAAGGTCTCTAGATGAAGGAATGACTCTGAGCAGAGCTGAGACCTCAAGGAGCCTGAGTCTAGAGGAGTGGATGGATACCTCTGGGGCCCCAGCTTGGTGTATGAAATGGGTCCTGCACACTTTGCCAGACTTCTGGGGACACCTAGGAGCAGCAGACAGCTTTCAGAAGGGGTTCAGAGAACATACAGCTAAGCCCCTAATTTGTTAGAGAGGAGACTGTGAATTTGCAGACAACGCTAACATTCCTCAAAGCACAACTCCCACTCCCCCACTCGAGCTGATCCCACGCTTAGTCATCACTTACTTTTCTTCTGCCTCACAAAGGACACAGCACCGAGGACTTTCCGGAAACCAACGCCCGGGTAGTCGGAGGGACTGAGTCCAGGAGAAATTCCTGGCCCTCTCAGGTGGGTGTTTCCTCACTGCCTCTGATTCCCACCAAAATAAGAGTTGCTGGAGCATACAGAGGCATTTACTATGTTCTCATGAACAGGTGGCTCTGACTGCCTACACTGTCGATATAAAGATAGATAAGACTAGACATACGTCGTCTCTAAATGCAGAAAATTTAGAGAAAAATATTGAAAACTCAACAACATTCACTTTCTCTACCAGGCACACACCAAATAAAGACCCTATTTCTACTCCCAGCAATACCACTTGTGCCACAGTCACACAACCATACTGCAAGCTTGCAAATTCAAATGACACACATAACCAACCACTCCATACAGTGTGTCACACATGCACTGGCACACATACTTCACTCACAAGTAGAAGATTTTGCTTATTTGACTATATAAAGAGGTCCCATTTTTGTAACACATCATCTGGGCCTTGATTCAAGTAAACACAAACGTTTAAAACTGTCAGGATAACTGGTATTAAATGTCACATTGTGAGAGGAACCAATACAGTCAGAGTTAGATTTAATTTACCAAAGTTTGAGGCCCAATTTTTAAGAGCGGAGCTATAGTATAATATATGGCGCTAAAGGAGAGCACAGGAGCTGATCAACTGGGCATTCCAAAAGTGCTTCTAAGTATCCTCTGAAATGGGGGGAGATTATGCAGATGATACAACCTAGCAGAAGTGAGGAGGACTTGAAGCACTTCCTGCAGGAGATCAATATGGATCACATTTCAACATCAAGAAAACAAATATTCTCACCACTGGATCAATAAGCCACATGATAGATAGAGAAAATAAGTAAATTGTTTCATTTTTACCTGAATTCGCAATTAATACCCATGATAGCAGCAGCCAAGAAATCAAAAAGATGTGTTGCATTGGGGATATCTGCTGTCAAAGACCTCTCTAAAATACTAGAAAGTAAGGACATTAGTTTAAAGACTAAAGTGAGCCAGATGAAAGCCATAATATTTCCAGTTGCTTCCTATGCATCTAAATGTTGGACAATGAACAAGGATTACAAAGGAAGAATTGATACCTTTGAACTGTGGTGTTGGTGAAGAGTACTGAGCATCCATTGACTGTCTAAAGAACAAACGAGTCTATGCTGGAGAAAGTGCAACTAGGATGCTTCTTTGAGGTAAAGATGATAGAAACTTTGACTTATATATTTTGGCTTTTAGGTGGTTTTTTTCTTTGTTGTTTTGTTTTTGCTACATTTTGAGGGGCCTGTCCTTGGAAAAAGAAAGATGAAGGGTCAGAGAAAGAGATGAGGGCCCTCAACAAGATTGACTGATGCTGTAACTGTAACAATGGACTCTAGCATGGAGGAGAGTGTGAAGATGGGACAGGGCAGGGCAAGGCTCAGATCCGCTGTTTGTAAGATCTCTATGAATCATAGTTGACATACAAGTACCTAGTAACAGTATGTCTTGAGAACAATGGAAAAGGAATTCTGAAGATCTAAATCAGTGGGGCTTACTTGATGGACTCATTTCAATAAGGAAAAATAAAAAAGGAAGGACCTGGGTTATAGGCTCATTGCCAAAACCTCTAGCAGGGATGCCAAATATATTTATCTTTCACTTCCCTAGTGCAGAAAACATCATCCAAAAGTGGAACACTTTTCCTACTGATCTACTAAGGCATCTGCATGCCCCTTCTCAACGTCACACTCCAGGGACCTACTACCAAATGACCAAGCAATTGGCAGGCCAAATGAAACCTGTCATCTCAAGCCCAGTGGCAGAAATGTAAGGTGTTATAATATAGTTTGGGGCAATGCCCTTTGAGAAAAAGAAATTTCTGTTTTCTTCCCTCTTGATCTAGATTTCCCTTCAATACTTGTCCGGAGGTTCCTGGTATCACACCTGTGGAGGGACCCTCATTAGACAGAACTGGGTGATGACAGCTGCTCATTGTGTGGACAGGTGAGAAAAGCAAAACCCAGCTTTACTGGGCCCCTAAGAATTGAAGAGTCTGTATGCCTAACTCTTCTAGGAAAAGACAAACTCTGGTGCCCAACTCTCTGGGCACCACCTTAAGGAATGGATGATGGCCTATTTATTTCTATTTGTGTTTGGATTCCAAATATACAATTCCACTACAGTATAATAAGTACAGATTTGGAGTCAGGCAGGTCCTATTTCAAATTCCACTCCACATTCTAGCTATGTAACTTTGGGAAATTTAGCTTATCTATGTTCCTTGTCTGTTCTCATTAAAATGGAATAACAATACCTATATAACACCTATTTTGTGGAGTTGTTGTGATAATTATAAGTGAGTAAATATTTAGCAAGTACCTATTCAAAATCTGCCTGGTAACTATTCCTATTTCTCTTGAGCAGTGACTCTAAAACTTGAGCATGAATCAGAAATATTTTGAGGGTGCAGATTTCTGGGCCCATCTGGTAGAGTTTTTTATTTGGTAGGCCCAGAATCAAGTCCGGAATTCGCATTTTTAACAAATTCCCAAGTGATGCTGCTGCTTCAGAGACCATGCTTTAATTAAAAACTATTAGTATAGGGGAGCTCTGGTGGCCTAGTGGCAAGAAGCTGCACTGCAATCCCAGAGGTACGCGGTTTGAATCCACCAGATGCTCTGCCGGAGAAGGAGGGGCGGTCTCCTCCTGTACCAGTCAGATCTGATTTGATGGCACACACACACAAAATAATGAAATAAAAGTGCTTTTAAAAAAAAAAAACTATTAGTATAGAACTTTCTATGTCCTTCAAAATCCCCCTGTGAGATGAGAGGCATTACTTTACTTAGGCTCACCACACCTGTCACAGAGTACTAGATACTCAGCCTATGATGTTTAGCCCAATAAACCAGGAAAAAGAAGTTGCTAGGAGTTTTGTCATTAACTTAAAATAATGAATTAGGGAATAGGAGAGTGTTACTTTCTCATCTTCTACCTCCTCCTCTGTCTGGGCTGGTTAAGATGGGTTCCTGTCCTAAAGATGAGATGTTGGATGACTTTCCAACTTTTCTCTAAGGAGGGAAAAGAAGGCTGAAGTCTCTGAATTACTAAGGATTTCTTTCTCTTACTCCAGCCAAATGACCTTCCGTGTAGTGGTCGGAGACCACAACCTGTACCAGAATGAAGGCACCGAGCAGTATGTGAACGTGCAGAGGATTGTGGTGCATCCCTACTGGAACAGCAATAATGTGGCTGCTGGGTAAGGACAGGGCTATTATCTGACTCTGGGCTGGGAGGTGGAGGGCTGGTTGGTTCGGCTATAGTGGTCATGGCTTTCTTCACCTATGACTAGCGGGGGTTATAGGTATATAAATATAGTCTGATACCAAGTCTGTGGCTTTGCTTTTGGTAGAGAGTCCCAGTTGAGATTGAGAGAAGATGCCATGTTTTGGAGTGGAGCATTAAGCTGGTACATTTATCCAGGAAAGTTTTGAGAATTTACCTTGCACAATAGTCCACAGGGCATTGTGCCACTAATCTAAAGGCCATGCTGGTAGCCCCATGGGAGAAAGACGGGCAATCTCCTCCTGGGTGATTTATAGCCTAGTAGCCTAGGATGCCCAAGGAAAGGTCCATTATGAGTCACATCCCACTCTGTGTGTGTGTGTGTGTTAAGAGGGTGGATTACAGGATTGGCTCACTTAATTTCTTCAAGTAGGTCCTAACAGAAGAACTCTTACAACACCAAGTTGTAAACTTCTGTTAGGGAATTAAAATGGCAGTCAATTCTATAGTGTGGGGTTGGAGAACTGGGTGGATTTAAGTAACTGGGATATTCCTGCAAAGCTTCTAGAGTCTAAATACAGCTTTTTTTTTCCTATAAGCGCTCTTCTCTGCCACCAAATCATTTTGTTCCTTCTTCCTAGCTGAAAGCACCATTCCCCTTGGTTACAGCAACAAGAACTAGGCTGCAATATCAAGGCCTCACCAGCAGGTGCTACTGTTAAACGGCTTATGTCCTACAGCCCAAATGACTAATTCCTATTGAGCTCCTGTGGCATAGTCTGTAATGAGTCACAGTGCTAACCAAAAGACTAATTCCTCAAGTTTGAGGCTTAGCAAATTACCATCTTTGTTTTCAGGATTGTGTTGTTGTTATTGTCCTCAGAGTCTTGGTTCCCATGGGATACAACCACCTATAAAGGACTTGAGGGAAGAACTGACCCCAGAAGTAAGCAGTCTCCTTTCTTCCTGCAGCTATGACATTGCCTTGCTGCGCCTGGCCCAGAGCGTTTCTCTCAACAGCTATGTCCAGCTGGGTGTTCTGCCCCAAGAGGGAACCATCCTGCCTAACAACAGTCCTTGCTATATCACAGGCTGGGGCAGGACCATGAGTAAGTAATTTCCATTAGCACTCGATAGCTTCTTAGTCACTAATGATCTACTTAGTCACTTCCACTGGCATTAATCTACCCACTTAGGGAGCTCAGGTGGCTTAGTGGCAAAGAGTTGTACTGCCAACCCAAAGACATACAGTTCTAATCCACTAGCTGCTTTGCAGGAGAAAGACAGGCTATCTCCTTCCTTGCCATCAACTGCCTCTGAAAACTTGATGGCAGGTCAGCTATGAGTGGGTTTTGATTAGACAGTACACAACAACATCACAGGGAACATGATATGGCAGCTCAGCTCATGGGGGACTTTTTTCTCTGTCTAGCTGGTGCATTAAGAGAGATGAGGAGGGGAAATAGTTGGAATGTTGTGGCATGGTCCACATGGATTTGTGTTAACCCAAAAGCCGCACCTAGTTGGTGATTCAAGTTCACAAAGGATCCTTTGAGGGGGAAGATGGGCAAGCTCCTCCTGTGTGATTTATAACCTCAGAAACCCAACAGGGCAAAGGGGAGGTCAGCTATGAGTTGATTCCAACTCAACAACAAAGAGAAAAGAATGGGATGTGAAATTATCAAGTCAGAGATACATAGATTCTTCTAACTTCAAAAGCCTTATTTTAGAAAGTATTCTGTACTAAACCAACCCTGTGGCCATCAAGTAGATTCCAACTCATAATGACCCTGTGGGACAGAGAACTACCTCAGTGAGTTCCAGCGCTGTAATCTTTACGGAAGCAGACTGTCACATCTTTATCCTGCTGAGCAGCTGGTGGGTTCAAACCACAGACCTTTCAGTTAGCAGTCAAAAGATATCCACTAGGCTACCTCATTCCATATCAACCCCTTCTTCTATGTGAGAGGGCAGGAACTCAAAAAAATTAAGGAACTTGTACAAGACGATATGGCTGGCTGACAAAAAGCTGAGGGTAGAACCTAGGCATCCTAATGTCCACTTTTATGGTCATTATACCATCATGCTACCTCCACAGGTTGTCAATGGGCTGTGGGTTGGAATGGGGGTAGCTGAACAGGGTTAGCTTCAGGTCCAGGTAAGTGAGACAGAGGAAGCTTCAACTTTCTTCTAGTCATCATGGGAAGATGACTATTGGTAGTGAATGTCATTCAAGTCAGATGGAAAGGTGGGAAGACTATGAGCAGAAACAGTTAAAAGTGACAGCCACTAGGCTTGACACAGGAGTTCATCAGCCACCAGGCAGGATTTAAACTTCTGAAGGAAAAGCAAGGCCTTGTGAGCAGTTAATCTGCTAGGAAAACCTGGAGCTAAGAAAATCTGAGAGACATGCTTCTAATCGGCTCTGTTCTCAGTTTGTTTAATGTCACTGTGCTTCAATTTCCTGATCTATAACATGAAAGGATTGCCGTAAGGATCAAAAGAAATGATATACGTGCAAAGTCTTTGAAAAGTTCAAAGAGCCAGATAAAAGAAAGTAACTAGGATATAGAAACAAGAGTGCTATGGTTTCTGTAAACATGTTTTACAGTGTAAAGATGAAGCAGAATAGTCAGATAAGGTGTCAACAAATACGAACATTCTGATTCCTCAGTTGTTATTCAAGAGTGCAAAAAGGACAGGAGTGAAATTGGTGGCTTGGTGCTTGAGTAATCAAGGATGACTCCCTGGAGGAAGGAACCTGTAGTTGACAGAGAGAAAGAGACATAAGCACAGGGATCCATGACAATGATGTAGGCAGAGAAAAGGAAATTGCTCTAGGTTTGGCTTTCAATAGAGCTTTAGTAACTTTAGAAGGCTTGGTGGAGCATAGAGGGGTTTTGCCTGAACAGATTTTGAAACTGACCCTGCAATGCTGTGTGTCCCATGCAGCCAATGGCCAGCTGGCCCAGACTCTGCAGCAGGCTTACTTGCCCACTGTGGACTACGCCACCTGCTCCAGTTCCTCCTACTGGGGCTCCACTGTGAAGAACACCATGGTGTGTGCTGGTGGAGATGGGGTTCGCTCCGGATGCCAGGTAAACACACACAGGAGGAGTAAGAAGCCTCACTCCAGGGTCCTTCTCCTTTGCCTCCTCCTCCACCCTTTCCTCACTTTTTAATTACCCACCCACATACAGATTCCATTTTCTACTCTGGCTTTCTACTTCTGTGCTTTTAACTCTCTATCCACCAAATCACATAGTTGGAAAAGACCTTAAAATTCATCTTGCTTATGTCCTACCTCAAAAGCTTGACGAGAAGCCCAACACGTGTGCTGATATATGTCAGTGATAGGGCAGGCACTTGGCGGCGTAATTGTGAATAAGGTAGTGTCTCTCTTGTCAATCTTCAACTTTTCTTGTAGCTCTACCACCACCAATTCTTCAACCTAGCATTATTTATGGCAGTATATACTGGTAGGTATGGTAAAGGAAAGTTGTCCAAATCCTTTAATAATAGTTTACATTTAATAAATAAAAAGAATCCTCTCCTATTTAGCATACCATCTTCCAGATTACTTAATGTAACTCAAAAACAGTCACTAAAGGTGTTGTGTGTACTAGATAATGCTGGGGACATAAAGAGGAATCAAATTGTATTCTATCAAAATATATAGTTAGGGGGAAAGATCTGAGTTAGAAATACCCAAGAATAAGGGATAAGTTTTAGAATGGCAAAAGAACAGCAGGTTGGGAAATCACCAAAGAATATAAACTATTTTGAAAGACAATTCTCAAGGAGATAAAAATGGTTACAGGTAACAGGAAAAACCTGGTGAAAGAAATTTTACAGAGAATTAAAGAGAGACAGCTCATTAAAATAAATGTAATGCCAAAAAGAGTCCCAGAAGATATGAAAGTGTTGACTGGATTTGGAAACTGGGTATCAGTAGCAAACTTTGAAAGATAAATTTCAGAGGAATGGTGAAAGCAGAAGTGTACTTGGAGAGGGTAAGGAATGAAGAGGCACTATCATGCTGACCCCATGTGTTAGCAGTAGAATGGCTCCCTAGTTTTCTCGGCTTTACGAGTTGAGCTAAGTTTAAATCTTTTTTTTTTTTTAGTTTGTTGTTTTTGTGGTTTTTTTTTTAATTTTATTTTATTATTTTGTGTGCACGTACCGTCAAATCAGATCTGACTGGTACAGGAGGAGATTGTCCCTCCTTTTCCAGCAGAGCATCTGGTGGATTTGAACTGTGTGCCTCTGGGATTGCAGTTCAGCTTCTTGCCACTAGGCCACCAGAGCTCCCCAAGCTAAGTTTAAATCTTAATGGAAGCAGATTGCTAGGCCTTTCTTCTGTGGTTGTGTTCAAATTACCAAGCTTTCAAGTTAGTCATGCACAAACGGCACCATTTACAGACTTTAATAAAGCAGGGAATTGTAAAGTGCTCAGTGAATCTTGGATGAAAGAAGAGCAAACAAAATAAAATGGTAGATTAAAAAGTAAAGAGAGTGATGAGTTGAGAATGGGAGATTTTAAAGAGAAAAGAGCATATTATAGGAAGAGAGGGTAGGACCATGTAGAGTCAGAGAGGAATAACAACACAAGGTCCAGAGAAAGAAAAGACGGAGCCAAAAGCACAGGTGGAGCTGGCTTTGAACAGGAAGAACTTGCAGGTTAGGTGGCTGGAAGCTGTTCCACATTATTCTATTTTCTACCGTCCTGGGAGGAGTCAGGTTAACTGGGGAACATTAGGAATATGGGTTGTTTATATCTGGAGTAACTGTTAAGCGAAATGGGAGGACTGTCCTCCAAGCTGCTACAAACAGGCTGAGATTGAAGACCATTTATTTTTATAGTAATGACCACATGGATTCACTCTGTTTTATGCAAAGACCCAGTTGTAGGACAGGGAATTGATTCATCCAAGGCTGTATTTTCCAGCTTGGTTGAGACACAAGGACAGGATTATAGATTAATTTATAAAGTGCAAACCAGGTGGAGGAGAAAGAAAAGTCAGTAAAAGGCTAGTAGTGTAGGTAAAATAGAATGAAGTAAAAAAAGGAAGTTTTTATGAATTTGAAAAACTTTTAGTGAAAACTTTCTGGTTTCCCAAAATTTTCCCAGTTTTAAAATGGAGTCTTGTGTTCCAAGACCCCTAGATAGACTGTTGTTGTTAGATGCCACTGAGTTGAGTATAACTCACAGCTATCCTAGGAACCCTATCCTATCCTGTGCCAGTCTCACAATCTCTGACATACGTGAGCCCATTGCTACAAAGTGTCAATCCATCTGGTTGAGGGTCCTCTTCTCCTTCACTGACCTCTCCACCATTCTACTGTTCTGAAAACAGTTTTTCTAAGAAGCAGCTGGGAAAGGTACTGCTAATTTCTACTTAAAAGAATCATCCTACATCTCTGGAACTTTCATTTCCGGAATAACTTTTGTTTTCTCTAAAGTTAATGATTATCTCGCCTTTTTCATTTGCTTGGTTAAGTATTCAACTGAACACTGCCTCAGCCCTAAGCTTTCTATTCTTTTGTAAGTGACCTGTTTTATTTCCTCTTGACCCTACCACTAAGTCTTGGTATGATTCTAATTGCATTCACTTTAATGGACACTTTGTGGACTTTTCTAATCCGTAAAAGTTCTAGAACTTTTGGTTCTGGAAAACACTGGGTTTTATTTCCTTTTCATTTTAGTTGTCTATTATTCACATTTGTTTCTTATTTTCCTTATGCTTTGCTTACTTGTTCTAAAGTGTTCTCCACTTCTAATATTTTATTTCTCCTCTCATATTTTCCAAAGCTTCTATATGCTGTCTGAATGTTCTGTTTAATAGCATGCTATTCTTATTCATGAGTGTGGTATTATCTAAAGTTTTATTTATTGCTAGTATTATTCTACCTACATAATCTTTTTCTGTCTCTTTCAGTTTTATATTGATGGTTTTCTTTAAATGTTTGGCGATTCTTGGCCAGTTGCTTTTATTACAGAGTGGAAATGTAAAAACCTGGTCACTCATAGTGTTACATGGGGTCTATCTGTAATAGACTTCTCTGTCAGGTGGCAGACAGAACAAGATAATTTTCTTAGGAGATCTCTAATGTCAGGATCTTTCCTACTAGACTGGTCAGACAGACTAGAGAAATACCTTCCAATTTTATTTTTGGAATTATAGGACTGCTTCTGGCATTCTGGAAGCAGAGGATCAAAGTCATGTTCTATAAACAAAGGTTTCTCAAATTCTAAGCCCGAGTGCACATAACTATTACCTAACATATCTCTTTCTCTCCTTTTCATTCCAGTTTAGTTTAACACATGCTGACTACCTACCTTGTATTAGTCACTGATTTCCCCACCTCAAGTTTCATTTAAGCCAATATAAGTTACTGAGTTTATGACATTCAAAGTTCTATGTTAACAATTTGGAAAGGAAAATATCAGTAAGACCTACTTCCGGTCTCAAGAAGCTAGCAAATATGAGTGGGAGGTGGAAACAAATTATGAAACTATAATACAAAACCAACCATACCATAAGTGTTGCAATAGAAGAAGAAGGGACTATGGTTATTAAGAAAGGAAAAAGAGATTCATCTTGATAGTGAGGACATAAAGCAGATGAGAATCTGAATTGCAGCTTTAAAACTGTACAGCATTTTACCAGCAGAGATGGCGTGGGCCAGGCACAAAAAAAGAGACAAAGCAAAGACACAAAGATCGGAAGATGGGCAGTTTTTCAATTCTGCTTCTCCTCACCGTAGGGTGATTCTGGAGGACCCCTGCACTGCTTGGTGAACGGCCAGTACACTGTCCATGGAGTGACCAGTTTCGTGTCCAGCCAGGGCTGTAACGTCTCCAGGAAGCCCACAGTCTTCACTCGGGTCTCTGCTTACATCTCTTGGATAAATAATGTGAGTTTTCATAAATGAGAGGTTGAAATAGGATTACCAAGGAATTCACACCCTACCTGGGATGGGAAACAAACTTGGTGTGGGAAAGCCATCACCTCCTCAACCACATTCAAGTGGCTCTTCATCCCTTCTCTTCATAAAGCACTTTTGTTCAATTATGTCATCATCCTGAGTCCTCCTTCACATACCCATTGAGCAAGTTTCATCACACAATTTATTGCTTAGGGTAAGACAGTGGCAGCAGCAAGCTTGAACCAGACATATATCAGTATTGTTCTGTTGAAGCCAAGGTGGAAAGAGTTTCCAGAAAAGCCAACATTCTGGATAAGGGAGGGAAGCACCAATACCCTCTCTGAAAAGCTCTAAGGGCATTATGAGAATTTGCTTTACTCTATGGAGCATAATTTTACCATATTAAATAATGCTTCAAGGTTCAGTGAGGTTCTTTTTTTTTATTTTTTTTTTATTTTTATTTTGTGTGCGTGTACCGTCAAATCAGATCTGACTGGTACAGGAGGATATTGCGCCTCCTTCTCCGGCAGAGCATCTGGTGGATTCGAACCGTGTTCCTCTGGGAGTGCAGTGCAGCTTCTTGCCACTAGGCCACCAGAGCTCCCCTTGGTTCAGTGAGGTTCTTTACAACAATACACGGACCTTGTGGTAAAGCTCCACAACTCCTGCTCCTTCAAGGCTTGAAATACTTTCTGGAGTCTTGCAGTATGAGGATGAGCTCATAAGCAAATTTGAAACTCATTCTTGCCATTATGTCTTGTGTATATGCCTGTGCAATGACGTATCTTAACAGCTGAAACCTGCATCCTACACCTCACTCTTTCACTAAAAGGTCATATTTAACTGGACTCTGAAGAAAACAGAAAAGGGAGGTAGATAGATGTCACTGATTATGGACTTCACTGGTTTTCCTTCAGATCGTTGCCTACAACTGAACATTTTCCTGGATTCGACAGCCTTCCCAAGGTGGTTCTTAAGTCCTCAGAAAAACTTGATGCCATCAAGGAAACCATTCTAAGAGACTACTAAACTGGATATAGCAAAGAAAATAAAACAGAATATACATTCTCATCCTGTGTCAAGGAAACCATTCTAAGAGACTACTAAACTGGATATAGCAAAGAAAATAAAACAGAATATACATTCTCATCCTGTGTCATGCTATTTGGATTCAAGCCCTCAGAAAGAAAGGTGATTATAGGTACCAGATTAGAGTTCACCTCGACTCTAGTCTAGTGCTCTCTTTGACACTACCCCTACCTATTCACAAACTGAGTGGTTTTACATTATCCACCGGGCTATTTTAGGACCTATATTACCTGTCTACTAACCTGTTCTCCCCCAACTCTACATGTGCTTTACTCAAAGGCATGGGGTGCTTTAGATGGTCCCACCTAAACTTGCATGACTCTCCCAGATAGACTGCAGGGCTTGCCCTTTGGTTTCCTCATCAGGACCCAGAACTAGTGCTCATTCCCAGCTTTTGGCAACTACCAGGATACACCAGAGGTAGGATTAAGCAGTAAGCAGACAAAGAAAGGGATGAATTAGAAAATAAATTAGGGAGGAAATAACAGGGGGGAAAGAAGAAAAGGAGATAGTGAGAAAGGAAAGGAAAGCACTGGGGTGGGGGGAAGGCTGAACAGAAGGGGAGAGGGGAAGCAATATGGGGCCTCAAACTAAGTATGAGTCAGCACTTGGAGGCTGGGACTAAAATAGACAACCGGATCCAGGGTTCTATAAACTGCTGAGAAGTGGGAAACCGATAATTCTGCTTCATCCTGCCCGGGGCTCCAGTCTGGTAAAGCGACCAGGGAGAAAACAAAAGGGAACCGAAAGGAGGCTAAGAGGATAAGTAGCAAGGGGCACTGGTGCATATAGTGCATGCTTCGCTGCTAAGGTGACAAGGAGTAATTATTCCTAGCAGCCACTGAAGACCAAACAAGAAGTATTAAGGTAGTTAAAGCATAGTAGGAAAACTTGTCTGAGGTCTGTTCTGGAATTGGCTGCTATGTCAGGTATGTCAGCAGAGGCCTCAAGGAAACAAACACAAAAGCACTGTCTGCAAGAAGCTCAACTACAGTAAGGAAGCCTATGTTCTCTTCCCGGTTCCATCACTGAGGGGCCAAATAATCTTGATCAAGTTGTCTACCCTTTATATTATTCAATTTCCCTATATATTTAACTTCTAAGGGCTGTTTTTGCATGATTTGGTGGCCAATTTCACTTGTTCCCAAGAGATTAACACTGTGGACAATTTCATGAGAGACAACTGTTGAGCTTTATTAAGAGTGCTGTGAAAACCTAGGAGAGATACAGCCTCTTGTTAAAGACATGCCTATCATCACCATCATCTCTGTGTTTTCTTCACCTACTGTGCGTGCCATCACCCACTCCTCCCCATCCAATGTTAAGGCCTTCCATTTTTTTCCATCTGCCCCTCTCAGGCCATCCTCAGTGAGCACTGAGAAACCACCTAAACATTCTGTCCATCTCCATAAATGAATTTAATGGAGATACTGACAGTTTAGTGGTAGAATTCTTGCCAACCAAGTGAGAGATCTCACTTTTGCACCACTAGGTTGAATGTACCACCCGTCTGTCAGTGGAAGTTTGTGCGGCAACTATGACACTAAATAGGTTTCAGAGGCCCTTCTAGACTAAGATGGACTAGGAAGAAAGACCTGGTGATTGGCTTCTGAAAATCAGTGAAAACCTTATGGACCACAGTAACCTGATCCATAACCCATAACAGAGATGGCACAGAACCAGGCAGCATTTTGTCCTAATATGTCTGGGATGACCATGAATCAGGGCCATATCAATGGCAGCTAAAATGAAATTTGGCACATTATAACCTGATTTCATTTGGACTGGCATGAAGCTGTGCTGCAATCTCAAAGGCATGTGGTTCAAGGCCACCTGACGTTCTGCGTGAGATGGATGGGTTATCTCCTCCCAATTAACTGCCTCTGGAAACCCATTGGAGTGTCAACTATGGGTCAGTTCTGACTCTGTGGTACACAACAACAATAACATAATCTGATTACAGTCTCCCTCCACCTCCATACTTTTAACATCTACAGGACAAGGATTGTACTTTATTTCTCTTTGTTCTCCCAATACCCCCAGCAACATAGTTGGTCCTGAGTGCAGGGATTAGAAAAATGAGCTGGAAAACAAAAGAAGAAAAGAGCATTCAATTTTGTCTCAGGACTCCAGATTTTCCCTTCTTTCCTTAGGAGCTGTATTTTGACCCTTTTCCTTCCCTTATGGATATCTTACCTCAACTAAAAAATTCTTAGAAAAAAAATTCTTAAAAAAATTCACTGCTGTGAATCTAAATTCCAGCTATTTCTTCAAACAGACCAAGGAATGTCCTGCATTTAGAGACCTTCTCCCTAAAGAAGCAGCAGTTCTAATCTTGGCCCTGTCCACCTAATTTGCACAATTTATGTCTCGCTTTACATTCTACCTCCATCAAGTGCACCCATAGCCATCTAGCTAGAAGAACTTGTGAGCGTACACACACATAGTTAACTGTCACTGAGCTGACTGCATTCACAGTACCCTATGAACAAGGGATGGTAAACTTGCCCTATCCTACAACATTACCACTATCTCCAATATGCACAAGCCCACTGTTACAGTAAGTGTGTCAATCCATCTTGTAGGGGGACCTTCCTCTCATCTTTACCAGCAAGATGTCTTTTCCCAAAGACTGTGTTTATGTCTGTGGGGTTTTCCCCCTCCAACTGGAGGGAAAAGTCTTCTCCTTTCCTGTCTCTCCAACTCATGTGTACCTCCACTTTTAACTGAGATCAGGAGCCGGAGGTATGGTGTAGACTTCTTCCCTTTCAAATGCGGTCTACAGTCTCCTCCCTTTATCAATCCCAAGACTGCTAACAGTGGATTGCCATTTTTCAAATTGCAACTTCTCGTAAGAAATACATTTTACTTGGTGACCCAGTGCACATAATCATATAACTGAAACACATTTCCCGATACAACACCCTTGTTGTGTACCGTGAAGTCGGGGCTGACCTTTAATAGCTGACCCTCCAATGGGTTTTCCGAGGCAGTAAATCACAGGATTATCCATTCTTTCTCCAGCAAAGCAGCTGTTGGATTCCCACCGAGTGCCTTTGGGACAGCTGCGCAGCTTCTTATCACGAGGCTACCAGAGCGCCCTTATTTCAGTTATTACTCCATGCTAATTGCCATCATTATCTTGCTTTCCCTAAAGCATGAGTTTTGACCTACATTCGTGAACTCTGTTTAACTGGGCCGATATTCCTGTTGAACTGGACTCACAGAAGCTGGGCTTGAGTATGAGCCTCTAGAGAGCAGGCCTCAGTGTCCACCTCTGCCGAACAGGCCCAACCTGGGATGTGCCCAGTCGGCCCGATGTGCCTGGCCCTGCCCGCTGCCACGTGGAAGGGCCTTGGGACCTCAGCACAGACCGCAGCGGTACCCAGGAAGTGGGACTCCGAGTGGACTCTGCCGCAGGTCTCAGAGGGCCGCACCGTGGGCCTGGCTTTACGCTGGGGGGCTCGGGGTGAGCCTCGAGGCCGCCCTAGGACTCGGGCAGAGCGCAGGCCATGGCCGCAGCCGGGAAGTGCGAGGCCCGCCCGCACCGGAAGCGAGGCATGCTGGGAGCAGGCACTTCCTCTCCGGGGCGAGAAAACCACAGGGCGCAGGGCCCGGGCAGCCGCCCCCGGGGAGCCGCAGGATGGCCGAGGGCAAGGCTGGAGGTGCTGCTGGCCTCTTTGCCAAGCAGGTGCAGAAGAAGTTCAGCAGGGCCCAGGAGAAGGTAGGTCTCTCCTCCGCCTTGTCTGTGCCCAGGCCAGCCACAGGGCGGTGCACAGCGCTTTAGGGCTTTGGGAGCCCTGCCCGCAGAAGGCTCTCTGGGACTGTCAAATGAGTTTCCGTCCAAACCCGGTCGATTTGAGGGAAAATGGAAGAAAACCACCCCATCTTGAACAAAGATGGGGACCTTCATGAGACACCAATTTCCCTCCGGACCTTAAGCAGCTCTCGGGCTGGGTTTGAAACCCGTGACCTAGAAAAGGTAAACTTGAGTTTACGCTGTCAGGCTAGCAAACCGTCAAGACTGGCATTTTACAGATAATGAAATGCAAAATCCAGAGTGTAATTTGCCCAAAGTCCTAAAACACCAACTGCTAGCCGTGATGTCCTTGTATTGTTACTTTAGGTGGAGTTCCCGTTGAGAACTAGAATGATTCTGCATAATTCTCTCTGTATCTGACTGTGCCGGGCCACCCGCTGTTGTTTAAAATTGATGTAACCAAAACCCTCTTTCTGCTTCCTGTGTGGTCCCTGAGGCCCAGGAGAGTACACGACTCAGAAAGATTGTGTCCTGGGGTGAGTGGCACTAGCATTTAGGTAGACTGTGATCTGTAACTAGCCTGCCTTTGTACATTGTATGAACACTGCTTAAAACATTTTAATGGCATTCTTCCTTAGCTACTTATCAAATCCTTTGCTTTCAGCCAACACTGCGTTAGAGAAGATGATATAGAAAAAGACATACAAATCAGAAAATAAAAGAGCAAGGAGGTACATGAAAGACCTGAGATGGAATATTTGGTCTTTTGATTACCTTATTTGATTAGCATTTGAATGAACAGCACACACTAAAGAACGGAAATAATCTGTTGTCTTCTAAGGTGGAGTCAATGGTTGGGCCCTTAGGAAGATTAAGGGCAGCCAACACTTTCATGTGGGCTTGTCATCAACAACAAAAATAGAGTGTAGTCCTTGTCTTCAGGAAGCTTTTCATGGAAAGAGACTGTCCACTTTCACAGCAGAAAACATAAGAATGGCTCAGGCTTGGGCAGTGTTTTAAGTTCTTAAGCCTATCAGGGTCATTGTGAGTCAGATCCAGCTTGAGGATAACGATATCTTTCTCTGAGGGAACTAGAGCCCTATGAGAGAATTGAGGAAAAAAGATTTTGTTTATCAAATTCACCTTGACCGTGATTTCATCTGTTGAGTTGCAAATTGTTTTACAAGCAATGCCAGTGGGAAGACATTGCTTAAAGGGGGGTGAGGAAAGAGACGATACTGAGAAGGCTACTGCTGGAATAATATCACCAGCACCATTCAGGAATGATGGTACACAGATTTTACTTTGTTTTATCTTCATCCAGCTTATCAGTGCTATGCCCTTGCTTTGGAT